GAAAATTGTTGGAGGTCCACCCCTTTGGCATGACAGGGTCCTGTGATAGTTTGATTCTAATCTAAAAAGAGAGCCATTAGCAGGGGTGCATTTAATATGGTGAATGTGGTACAGGAAGTACATGCGTTGATTTACAGGAAGTATCTCTACCATTATAGAGACAGTTGGCCTTAACAGCTTTATTGGAAATTGTGTGGATGGAGGGAAGTTACACTAACATCTAGTCTCTGAAATGAACATATTTTACAGCAAAAAGACGGTTCACAAGAAATAATCATAACATATAATGAAAAGGAACCCAGTGACTTTCTTCATTTTCAGGAACTAGAAATCTACACTTGCCACACATTCTAGACTTGTATGGGCTTTCTTGGATATATTTGTTTCATGGCCTGTATGACAGACAAGTGAAATGGGTGAAGTCAGAGATATATGGAGGATTAGGTGCCCATTGCAGACAAATTATAGTAAAATGTTTTGGTTTTTTTTTGTATGTATACAATTGGAATTCAGTACAATGCAATGGTATGCACACGATTGTTATTATGTTTTTTTACAAAAACTCATTTTGTTGAGTTCACATGTATTTTAAGATGAATTAAATGCAATTGTATACATACAGGATAAAAGAATCTTCCATTTTGATATTATCCTATTGACAATGAAATACCATCTTACAAAGCTGTAACATGAATTACATTAGCTTCTGTGGAACCGAATATTGGTGCCTGAGCGATGTAGATAAATCCATGGAAGTATGATGCCTGTATGATGTATTGGAAAAACTCTGCTTTTATGTCTAAATGAGGATCAGCAGTTGGGGACTTGTGTAAATACTGCTGATATGGACTGAAATGTTTTAGTACATGATGTGCACAGAACTGACAGGACTGATAAATGTGTTTCAGAATGTCATTCGCTATCTAAATGACTGTGAAATGTGCAAATAATTAGTGTTTATATACCTTGTGGTGAATTTCAACCTGCATTTCACGAGTTGAAAAACAAGCGATTCTGGGACACATGCTTTGACGGCGGGTCCACAATAACATTGTCAAAGAGCAAAAGTAACCATGTTTGAGGAATTCATTAAATAAATTGAATAAACTAATTTGAATAAAATCAACAACATTCATAAAAGTTGTACATATAAAATTACTATTTTCCATGTTTTGATGTGCGATCATGTAATGTAAGTCAAGTCACTGACAACTGACATCTTGGTGCTCTGCCGGGTAGTGTAGCACCTCAATCTTCAGCTTTCCGGACCTGGCGATGTTTAATGCTAAAATATATACATGAAGCATATTTGTCACGGGTCATAACCTAGCCGCGATGCGTCCAAAAGTTCCATAATTTCATGCGTTATAGGTAGAGATTTCTTCCTTAATATGTTCAGAATAGCATTATTTGATAAATGGCAACTTTAAGCAATACAAAATTTACCGGCGGCGGCTAGCTACCGGCGGCAGTTGAAAATACCGGATCTTCACAATTTTTATCGGTAAAAATCCGGTAATTACCGGAGAACGGGAACACTGACTGAGGTTGGCTCCACTATCCAGACTTCAGGGGATCGTTTACGGATAAACTCTTGTCAGATTACCATTACACAGAAACACAAACCTCGGCTTTAGTTTCCTTAATCAAGAAATATGTGTATATATTTATGGAAACAAGGAACCTGAAATATTGTTTCATTTTTGTAGAAAATCATATTTCTTGGAAGAATAAGCCCTGTTTATGAATCAAAACTGGTCTATACAGGAAATATGGTTTCATTGAAGGGAAGCCATATTTCCCTGGGAGACATCAGGGGTATGAAACATGTTGGTAATCGATGATGTCACAGTGATCTGCAAACCATTGTGGTGTCCTTGATGACCAGGATGTAACAATTACAATGATATCAATAATCTTACCTTCGTGTATTCTTTCTCAAATCTGACAACATTTATGATTGTAAGTCAAAACTCCAGTGTTCGCGGTAGGAATAAAACTTTACGTTCCTAAATGGCATAGCCCAAAGAATCTTTTGTGTGAAATTTAGACGTAATTTCCTTGCATTTCAGAGCATGTTGCTATCATTCACAAGTCCAATTAGCAGAAAGAAACTTTATTCTATTTTGTTGTTTCCTTGGGGAAAATCGGTTTTTCGGTTACTTGTTCTCAGAACACAAAATGCTTTGTGTGCAGAACACGCAGATAGAAAATGGGGGTGGGGTGGTTGTATACGTGTGACTGACGCACTCCTGGTCCGAGAATGTTTCTGGGATTGTCAGCGCCATATCCTAAGACCTGCAGTGGGCGGTGGGGTAGCCTAGTAGTTAAAGCATTCACTTGTCATGCCAAAGACCCGGGTTTTGATTCCCCAAATGGGAACAATGTGTGAAGCCCTTTTTGGTGTCTCCCTCCATGATGTTGCTGAATATTGCTAAAAGCGGCATAAAACTAAATTCGCTCACTCACTCACTCACTCAACTGCTTTCCTCAACATTAAACTGAAGGGCTGTAATATAAATGGAGTCATGTTCAAAGCAACATTAAACCCAACTTACCACTTTAATAGTAAAATTAAACCACTGTAGGCGTCTAAAGAGTTAACTTGTTGAGGAATAATTCACCAATAGAATTGTGTCATTTACAAAGTTTCAGTACATAATGAGAAAGAATTCCCAGCACCTGATGTTGAGTGGTCAGCTGACGTGGTTGTCTGCCAGAGAGTGGTGTTCATTATATTAATCGGGGTGGTGGGGTAGCCTAGTGGTTAAAGCGTTGGCTCGTCAAGCTGAAGACCCGGGTTCGATTCCCCATATGGGCACAATGTGTTAAGCCCATTTCTGGTGTCCCCCGCCGTGATATTGCTGGAATATTGCTAAAAGCGGCGAAAACTAAACTCAGTCAGTCAGTCATTATATTCATCACTAATTTGCTAATTTACATGTTGCCATGATACATTTGAACATTGCCTAACTACGGTAGAAACAAAAGGGCTGTAATTTATGTGGGCTGGTGAGATAGCCCAGTGTTGAAGCTTTCGCTCTTTACGCTTGAGATCCTCGATTCCTTGCTTGTTGGAATATTGCTAAAATGGGGTAAAACCACATGCAATTTTTAATGATGCATTTTAGCATGACAACCTGTAAAATGTTTATGGGATGCCTGGATGTGAGGGATGAGCATACCATATATGAGGCTGAATGAGCCCGTTTGGAGTGTGTTAAGATCTACCAAGTGATGTTATTCAGATTAGCAAATTTCTGGATTAACAAATCTTGTTCAACACATATTCTCTGTGTGTGTGTGTGTGCGCGTGCGTCTGTATCTCTCTGTGTATTTGTGTGGTGTGTTTGAGGGGTCACTTCCCCCCTGGGTAAGGTCACTGTGAGTTGTGTATGACGTGGGTTCCCTCTTCCAAATCCTGTGTTCACCCGAGCTTGTATACATTTAAATATGTCTATATAGTCCTACATACAACCACCGTCATCATCTGTCACGGAGAGTTGCTGGGTGATTGTCTGCGTGCTTGTCTGCGTGCTTGACTGGGAGCTTCTTGTGCTGCTGTTACTAGTGTGTTATGGCAGTATTGCGTAGGTGAAATGATCATCCCTGTGTAATAATAGAAAGTTTTATGTGCTCTTTACCCTATGTACTGCAGCACAGCCTCATGTATCGGAGGACATCAGAGGCTGATTTATAAAAGTACATGTTGAATGAAATGACTCACATGTATATTTCAGGGTTCTCACATGCTTGAAAAAGCCTAAACCGGCCCTAGATTAGTTTTAGCCTTATAAAGGCCTTTATTGCCAGTGAGTTGCCCTAAAAGGCATTATATTTAGGAAAACATGTAAAGGTATGTTTTTAGAGGAAACTTTCTCACTGCAGCTAATGTAGCTCCCTCGGAGGGGACCGCTGCCATATAGCTGGAATACTGCTGAGAGCGGTGTAAAACTAAACTCACTCACTCACTCCCTCAGAGGGGACCGCTGCCATATAGCTGGAATATTGCTGAGAGCGGTGTAAAACTAAACTCACTCACTCACTCCCTCAGAGGGGACCGCTGCCATATAGCTGGAATATTGCTGAGAGCGGTGTAAAACTAAACTCACTCACTCACTCCCTCAGAGGGGACCGCTGCCATATAGCTGGAATATTGCTGAGAGCGGTGTAAAACTAAACTCACTCACTCACTCCCTCAGGGGACCCGACTGCCATATATCTGGAATATTGCTGAGGCGGTGTAAAACTAAACTCACTCACTCACTCCCTCAGAGGGGACCGCTGCCATATAGCTGGAATATTGCTGAGAGCGGTGTAAAACTAAACTCACTCACTCACTCCCTCAGAGGGGACCGCTGCCATATAGCTGGAATATTGCTGAGAACGGTGTAAAACTAAACTCACTCACTCACTCCCTCTGATGGGGACCGCTGCCATATAGCTGGAATATTGTTGAGAGCAGCGTAAAACTAAACTCACTCACTCACTCCCTTCTTGTTTGTTCATTTTGGTGTGTAGACACGTGAAGATCTGGGTTAGAATTGATCGTCAGTAATCCATGCTTGTCGTAAAAGGTGACTAACGGGATCTGGTGGTCAGGTTCACTGACTTGGTTGACACATGTTATTGTATCTCAATTGCGTAGATCGATGCTCATGCTGTTGATCACTGGATTGTCTGGTCCAGGCTTGATTCTTTACATACCTCCGTCATATAGCTGGAATATGGCTGAGTGTGGCGTAAAACTAAACTCACTCACTCACACTCTGTGTTATATGTTTTTATGGTTCTTTAACATTGTTGATTGGGCCTTAAACAGCCCCTAACAGGCCTTAAACAGCCCCTAAAGGCCTTAACTCTAATGGCTGATAATGTGTATGAACTCTGACATTATTTAGTGTTTGTAAGTTGGCCCTTATTATGAAGTGTACACTATAAAGCATGTGATGTGAGACTGTGAAGCATGTATTGTATCAACCCCCCTCTCTGTATTGCAGGCTATAGTATGGACAATCTTGGTCTGGACCCTAGGAAACAGGAATTGCTCGAACAAAGATTTCTCGGAGGAAGGGTATGTATTTTTTTGTTTTTCCCTATATATATATCATTTGCAGCTTGAGATAGTAGTCTCTCTCAGCTGTAATGAAATAAAGGCTATGTCTACAGTCTGACAGTATTGTGATATCTCCCAATGCAGCAACACTATATCACCTCTTGGCTCACTGTATGATATCACCCCTTGTTAGGTTGCTCATTATGTTTAAAGCACCCGTGAAGATCAGATTAGAATTGGTCTTCAGGAACCCATGGTTGTCTCAACCCGTGAAGATCAGATTAGAATTGGTCTTCAGTAACCCATGCTTGTCGTAGGACATGACTAACGGGATCGGGTGGTCAGGCTCGCTGACTTGGTTGACACGTGTCATCGTATCCCAGTTGCGTAGAGCGATGCTCATGATCACTGGATTGTCTGGTCCAGACTGCGATTATTTACAGACCACTGCCATATAGCTGGTATATTGCATTAACCCATTCAACACCGCAGGCCGAATAATCAGCCACAACGTTATGAGTCCCCAGACACCGGAGGCCGATTAGTTGGCCAGGCAGTAGTCACGTCAAAATGAGACATAAGTTTAGGAACCTACCGGTACCTGACTTATGATTCATGTATTAAATCTATCACATTTCACAATGTCTGAAAACACTTATTAAATTTCAATTGATCATATATTATCGGCAGAATTAAAATTATAAACTATTTTTCACAAATTATAAACTATTTTTCACAATGTTTTTCAAAACAACGATTCTCGGACACATGCTTCGGCAGCGGGTCCACAATAACATTGGCAAAGAGCAGAGTAACGATGTTTCGAGGAAATCATTAAGTACATTGAACTAACTAATGAATAAAATCAACATTAGCATTCATAAAAGTTGTCAAACGTACATAAAAAATTACTATTTCCATCCTTTTGTGCGATCATGTAATGTAAGTCAAGTCACTGACAAGTGACATCTCGGCTTTCACCGCCTCAATCTTCACGCTCGGACACGATGTTTAATGCAAAAATATATGCATGAAGCATTTTTGTCACGGGTCATAACCTATCACGATACGTCCAATAAGGTCTATAATTTACATATAGGTAGCGATTTCTTGCTTAATATGTTCAAAATAGCATTATTTTACCCAAAACTTTTCGTGGTTTATGTGGACATTATAAATGTAAACTTGCATTTTCATTAAAAATAAATTTATTTAAGTTGTAGTTGTATTATTTTAATAATATAATAAAAATAAATTTCATATTTATCAACAGTAGGATTAGATCTTTTAAATGGTGTATGGGATGTAGTAGCAATAACGTTTTACAAGCTTATAATTTCCTTCATAAACATAGGCTTCATGTATGACCTTAGAGTCTCTGGGAACTCGGTGCAATGGCAGTAAATGCCTCTGGTTGACTGGTGCTGAAAGAGTTAAAGAACAATCAGTCAATCAAATATGTTAGAAGTGTTGCCAAATGTTGTTTCAATACAACGGTGCACCACAGCTATATAGCAGACCACCACAGCTATATAGCAGACCACCACAGCTATATAGCAGACCACCACAGCTATATAGCAGACCACCACAGCTATATAGCAGACCACCACAGCTATATAGCAGACCACCATTGAAATGTTTCTGCTCAAATCGATGCTCATCATGTCAGTCACTGGATTGTTTGGTCCAGTGTCCAGACTCAAGTATTTATAGATGCATTTGTGAAGGTTACATATTGTTGAGTGCAGCAGTAAACAACAACAACAAACAGTTGTCATGATGAGCTTCAGGGATAATCGAACACAAACAATTTTGGAACACTTATTTTGCTTTAACAATATTTTTCACAAGGTTGGTTTTGTCTGTTACATTTCAAAAGCACAACCAGCTCGTTCCAAGTCAGGATTGAATTTATCTTAAAGACTCCAAGAGCTTTAGGTTCCTAATATACTAGTCATCCTTTAAAGATGTAAAATTTGCAAATGCATTTTAGGCAATTTGCAACAAAAAACCAGGAAGAACGACATGTTTTTTCTTTATTTTTTGTGCATTAAGAAACATAATCAGGAAAATTTGATAAATGATGCTGACCAATTATTTTCGATGATTGATCGGTTGTAATGAACCAATCATCAATTTTAACCAATTGCCAACACTACTAGGTTAGGTTCCCAGCTCGCCAAGGCCATGTGTTGTAACATTTTCTTTTGGTCTGGTAAGATCACGTTAGTTCACAAACAAAGACGACAATATCCTGAATATCATCCCAGAATACAACTTTGTGCAGGCAGTCTTGATTTGCCTTGACAGAGATTGCTCCACCGTTTTCTGGACTTACCATAACAGTTACATATTTGGTCAGTAGAGGAGGTTCCAAGATCGTAAAGCAGTTAAGCAGTTCTCAAAACACTCCATGCCCCCTGTGTTTCAAACGTCGCAGAATTTAAGAATGAATAATTTAGTGAGTCTCCAGATTCGAAATAGAACACTATTTTTAAAAACATCACAGATCTCATACTGCTAGCTCCCTTCTAGTTTTTTTCTGGCTGTGATTAGCCAGATCAGATTTCCACATGGTGTTAGGGCAGACTAGCCTCCTCTGTGTCACTGGCAGTGTTGACCTGGATTTAAGACATGTAGGAAGGTTGACCACCTTTCATTAAATAATTCACTACTAGTTTAGTGGGATAATAATTTGAAATAAATGATATGTTGCTTATGTACATGGATATCAATGCATTACAGTATTCAATACAGCTTTTGTTATGAAAGTAATGTAACAATGTATAAATTGGAAAACTATGTAATCGCAATGTTTCATGTAAAACGATATAATTACTGTGTCATTTGAAACAATATAATCACAGTGTGTTATATAAAACTATATAATCAGTGTCATGTAAAACAGTGTTATCATAACATGTCATATAAAACTAAATAATCACACTGTCATGTAGAACTGAATAGACACAGTGTGTTATGTAAAGCTATATAATCAGTGTCATGTAACACTACATAATGACAATATGGCATGTAAAGCTATATAATCAGTGTCATGTAACACTAAATAATGACAATATGGCATGTAACACTAAATAATGACAATACATCAAGTAAAACTAAATAATGACAATATCGCATGTAAAGCTATATAATCAGTGTCATGTAACACTAAATAATGACAATATGGCATGTAACACTAAATAATGACAATACATCAAGTAAAACTAAATAATGACAATATGGCATGTAAAGCTATATAATCAGTGTCATGTAACACTAAATAATGACAATATGGCATGTAACACTAAATAATGACAATACATCAAGTAAAACTAAATAATGACAATATGGCATGTAACACTATATAATGACAATATGTCATGTAACACTAAATAATGACAATATGGCATGTAACACTAAATAATGACAATACATCAAGTAAAACTAAATAATGACAATATCGGTGTCATGTAACACTAAATAATGACAATATGTGGCATGTAACACTAAATAATGACAATATGGCATGTAACACTAAATAATGACAATACATCATGTAAAACTAAATAATGACAATATGGCATGTAACACTAAATAATGACAATATGGCATGTAACACTAAATAATGACAATATGGCATGTAACACTAAATAATGACAATACATCAAGTAAAACTAAATAATGACAATATCGCATGTAAAGCTATATAATCAGTGTCATGTAACACTAAATAATGACAATATGGCATGTAACACTAAATAATGACAATATGGCATGTAACACTATATAATCAATATAAATAATGACAATGTAAACACTAAATAATATGGCATGTAACACAAATAATGACAATATGGCATGTAACACTAAATAATGACAATATGAACAAAATGACACTATAATGGCATGTAACACTACATAATGACAATAACACTAAATAATGACAATATGGCATGTAACACTAAATAATGACAATGTAAAACAAATAATGACAATATGGCATGTAACACTAAATATGGCATGACAATAATGACAATATGGCATGTAACATGTAACACTAAATAATGACAATATGGCATGTAACATTAAATAATGACACTATTGCAACATAATGACAATATGTCATGTAACACTAAATAATGACAATATGGCATGTAACACTAAATAATGACAATACATCAAGTAAAACTAAATAATGACAATATCGCATGTAACATTAAATAATGACACTATTGCACGTAACACTACATAATGACAATACGTCATGTAACACTAAATAATGACAATAAATAGTGGCATGTAACACTAAATAATGACAATATGGCATGTAACACTAAATAATGACAATATGGCATGTAACACTAAATAATGACAATATGGCATGTAACACTAAATAATGACAATATGGCATGTAACACTAAATAATGACAATATGGCATGTAACACTAAATAATGACAATATGGCATGTAACACTAAATAATGACAATATGGCATGTAACACTAAATAATGACAATATGGCATGTAACACTAATAATGACAATATGGCATGTAACACTAAATGACAATAATGACAATATGGCATGTAACACGAAATAATGACAATATGGCATGTAACACTAAATAATGACAATATGGCATGTAACACTAAATAATGACAATACATCAAGTAAAACTAAATAATAATGACAATATCACATGTAAAGCTATATAATCAGTGTCATGTAACACTAAATAATGATAATATGGCTTGTAACACTAAATAATGACAATATGGCATGTAACACTAATATTGACAATATGGCATGTAACACTAAATAATGACACTAACATAATGACAATATGGCATGTAACACTAAATAATGACAATATGGCATGTAACACTAAATAATGACAATATGGCATGTAACACTAATAATGACAATATGGCATGTAACACTAATAATGACAATATGGCATGTAACACTAAATAATGACAATATGGCGTATAAAACTATATAATCAGTGTCATGTAAAACTGTTATCACAATGTGTCATATAAAACTAGGATATGATCATGGTGTGTCATGTAAAACTATATGATAACAATTTGTCACGTAAAACTATTTATCATACAATGGATAGTGTTCTTGGCAGGGTAAAGCCAACGGACATTTTCGGTATCCGTTGGGGTCATATAAGGATATCGATGCAAATTAGAGAGGTCATATGCAAATTTCAGGGACTACTTTCACAGTGTAAACAAACATGGCGTCAAGGGTCGGAGGTCGTGTCCGGATTGACGGCCGTGGTTACGGTACTGTCAATGCTTTGATCCCTGAAAATTCATGCCTGGTTATGATAGATGGAGTAGATTACAAAGCAAAGATAGAAATTCATAGGCTTACGAAGATACCAACATCAGTTCCCAGGCCGACTGTCAGTGTTAGCAAGAGAACGGCATAAGTGCACAATGTCACGCGAACATTAAAGCGCATTTGTTGTTCGAAAGGTTAATTGAAGGTTTCTGAAGTTCCACGCGAGTTTGTTATATTTTTCAAATGTAAGCTAAGATTTGTTGACAACAATACGTGCTTTAGCATAAAGCTTACTGGGAACTAGATGACCTACCGCAGTCAACTGCGTGATCAGGAGAAAATTTATGTCACCGGGCTTGTGACGTAACGTATTTCTCCGCACATATTTGTGACGTCATATACATTCCACGAAGTTTAGTTTCATGATTTGTAGCGTTTCAAATCGCATTTTTTTAAATAATAAAGCAAAAATGACATTGTATGATAAATAGGTTATCACACTCGTGTGTTTTCGGATGGATAATATCCTGCATTAGGAATAAACACTATGTATTTAGCTGGCCAAGGCTTGCTAAATACAATGATTATTCCTTATGCAGGATATTAACCATCCGAAACCACACTCGCTTGATAACCTATATGTAATCGCAACATATCTCAAGTAGGAATTATGTGATTACAAAAATAAACACAAATAAAAACTAAACAGTCACAATATTTCCCAAGTTAAAATATATTATCCCAAAAATATCTTGGACATCTATGTACAAATTCTAAACTTCATATTTTAAGTTGTTCACTGGTCTCGAGGGGGACATGGGTTGATGTACCCTCGATATTTGTTTATAAAGAAACATCAATGGTACATCAACCCATGGGCCTCGAGGGACCAGTGAACAACGTACTTATCTTATCGAACACCTCAACGGTTACTTTGAACTGTTTGAAGCATGGGTATCGAATCATAGTATGGAGTACCGGACGACAAGAAAAACAAATTTAGAGTTATCTTCCTTCCGTCGATTTGCATTCGCAAAACATCGGCAATTTCCATACATCATACGTGATTCAATTTTTTTCGAGATAATGAACTTCTACTATGAAGTACCAAATGAGCTCAGCATTCCCAGCGGGGTACGTAGAAAATGTTACTTGCTTGTAAGCGGGGTGCATTGAAAATAATAGAAGAGTGCTCAGCCAGTCAGAAAACGACATTTATGTGTTAGGCAAGATAAGTATATATATATATCATGATGATGGAAGAATGAACGTACTCCAGATGAAACCAAGCGTTACTTTATAATAACTGCCTTGTCTTTCTACGTGCATGCGTAGCACAATGTTTTTTTTTATTCTGTTGGTACACTGTAAACGTTGTGGAGATGTGTAAAGTCAAGTTTTTCAGATGAGCAGGGATTTGTCTAGACCTGTCAAATCTTCAGGAAATGTCACAGAAGCTTGTCCAGTGAATTGACTTATATTAATGTAGGTATAGTTGATAAACAGGTTTGTGGACTTTGTGTACTGCTTGCATTGTAACAGTACCTCTGTAGTTAATAGGTTGAAGAAAATCAGAACGTCAGAAAAATCTATTCAACACCAAATAATGATTATACTTGCTACGATCACTTCGTTTGGGGATTCAGTTAAATCTCTGAAAATGTAGATTAATATGATATGACAGCATCTCCAAGAAACCAGTCTGTGTCCACAATTACACAGGTTACTTCTGTAAAAATATGGTATTATCTTGAGAAATATTGTGTCTCAAAAAGTTATAGTACATTCGTTCTGAATTTTTTAATTTTTTTCAGCCTCACTTTCAACTATTCAATATTCACACAGGGCACGGCAGTTTCACTTGGTAAAATGGTCATAATAATTGAATGATTATATTTAGGATCCAGGAACTCACGCTGATGGGTTGACGGTGCTAATTGCAGTGTACGTCCAGGAAATTAAGCTCCAAATGTCTTCTTTTTGGAAATAATAATAATAATGGAAATTTATTAAACATCTCTTTGCGAACTAATATTTAAATTCACTTGGCCAAATGAGAATGTAATCTCTTCACAAATTGTTTGGATAATTGTGCGAAAAGTCTTATAAATATTTTGATATTTCTCATTTATTATGAATTGATTTGTTATTTATGTCTCCCCATGTCAATTGGCTTATTGCTCTCGACATGGAGACATGCTAGGATCTGTATCCACTTGTTGACTGTTTGAAGATCACATTCATTAGAGTACTGGGATTGATCCAGACTAGAACATTAATGTCCCTGGCAGCCAAATTGCAAATTTGATTTTGTTGCCTTGTTTAAAATTACCATTTTTATGTTTATGCTTTTCTGAAATTCAGTGTAAATTGTAATAACATAAAGCTAAGTATTGAAACCTGTTCCTTTCTATTAATCCTGTTACCATTTAAATACAGGTAAAGTCTGAACATTAGTTATTAGTATGTTCATATTAGTTATTCATATAATATTGAGCATGAATTGGGAAATCTATAATTCCAATTTGGGATTTGTTTGTGAAATTTGTTTCAGAATGAGAACTGAATACAAGCCTCTGAACAGGTCTTCATAAATAACTCAAATATGACTGCAAACATCTTTATAATAGACCTCTTTTGTCAATTTGTGAACTGTTTAGGTACAACGGCAACCAATGATTGTATTGACGGGGATAGATTTACAAATTAAGTTTTCAGAAGTTCTTCAAAAGGAATTTACAAGTTAGACGATCATGATTACGTTTTATGATAACAACTTCTTTTTATTCTTTAACACACCCTCCACTCCCACTCATGGCTTTGTCACTACAATATATCGTTATCTTTGTGCATTCTCCCACTTGCGTGGTGTAAACATGTTTTATCTATATATGTTCACTCTGTACACTGACTCAGCATTTATCTGAAGGAACAAGACATAGCTCTGACACATTGTACAAAGAATACAAAAAGTTGTTATCCATAACACAGTCATGTATTCAAGTTTTCAGAAGTACACTTGCACTTTGGAGATGAAATAATAACACAATATGCAGCATATTGTCGTACCAAGTTACGGACCCCAGTAGGTTACTAAATGTGGCTGCATAAATTAAGTCTTTACCGCAGTTGTTTTTTCCAATCATGCACGAATGGCCTGATACACCTTCTGAATACCCCTGGAGAATTTTGCTCGATGATATTGAAGGTCAAGGTTACTCAGTATCAAAGACACCTTGAATATTTATTATTCGTTTTTTATAATTATATTAAAATATATGAAGTTCTGTGATTATCTTTCATTCCTACTCATGTTTTCCATTGTAATTTATTGACAAAACAGCATTCTTTACATACAATAAATTTTGATAAAAAGAAAATAAAATCCCTCAAAATCAAATCTAAATTCAAGATTTCTGTTATCAACCATAACATTTGGTTTTATGGCTTTTCTATGTAGAAAGTAGGCTCTGTTTATACAATCAGTGTCACTCACTGTCGAATATTGCAGCTCCCAATATATCGCAATACATATCTGGATATGAGACCAGAAATGCAATATATTGTAATACAATTTATTTGCCAAGACACAGTCCTACATATGCATGATGTTTAAGGTGGGATCTTGATTGCTTTAAATCATTGAAAGCAAAGGTTGCTATGAAGGAAATTCACTGATGGAATGCCTGGCAAATAGTTCCATTTATCAGCTCTTTGGCGATCTCCCATACAAGGTCAAGATCCCTTCGAAGTTCAAATTATTACATTTAACCATGCTTTGTATTTGGGATTAGGGTATGAAAAGTATTTGCATTTTGTGATCATTTATGGTTGACTTACAATAATTAAGTTAGAAGTAACTAATTGGTTATAGTCCGTTTGGGTTCAAATGAGAACGACAAATAATTAAATAACTCGAAATTGGGATAAGTGCACAAAACATAAATAAGACACACGGTCCTGAAACTTATGTACTCAAGATTATCTGAAATCTTACATTTTATGATCAATCATGGAAAAAGTTGTTTAAGAAACCATCATGTAATATTGTGCTATTTTCACACTTCACATCGAGGGGTGACAAACAGCTGATGGGGAAAAGTAAAGGTTCTTTCTCCCTCCAGTTCCAGCCCTTGACTGTTGGGGTCCCCCAACATCATCCGGTAGTAGGTGGCACTATCCCCCCACAGGCTCAACAGCTTCATCCCCAGCATCATCCACAGCCAACACCACAGCAACAACAGCAGCAACAGGAAAACAGCAACCTCAGTGCTGGCTCAGTAGACAGAGACGAAGAGGTGAGTAGGGGAGGTAACTCTGTTATCTGAGGGAAGTTGATGTACAGAGTTCAGTTAGGGTACCTCCTTACCAGTTTCACAGACTAAGGAATATAGCAGTTACGAAATTTCAGCTTTAAATAGAAGTTGTCTGTACTTGTGGAAAACTTTGGTGCAGTGTGATCATAACAAGGCCTAGAAAAATGTTGTGGTTCCGATTACCGGACCGACCCTTGAATTCTGGTGCCGAGTGTTCAGATACCATTGTTTTTTCCCGGCACTGACGGACATTGGTAACTCTGATAGAGAAAGTCGACATGATAGCGACAAGCTTGATTAAATAAACAATTACACATTGATAAATGTTTGTACTTTACTTTAAAAAAAATACGTAAACAAAATAAAAAATATTCCTACCTACCTACCTTGATTTCTAAAGAGCTGCAATCGGAACCACAAGTTGTTTTTTTTAATTGGCCCAATGATAATAATAAAAGTACTATGAATTTCCCAAAGTTGGGAACAGATGCTCAACTGGTTTTAATTTACGTTGACCTCATACATTTTCCTCTTTCTAGGCACAGGCTCATACTCCTGATAAGTCTCGGACACCATCAGAGAGGAAACGGAAACGGAAGACAGTAAACGATGAAGGTGGTGAGTCAACCTTTGATTATCATGATTCGGGAGGTTAAGGGAGGATAGTGGGGCATCCATCCACATAGTGATTCATCCATCTACATGGATAGTGGGGCACCCACATAGTGATTCATCCATCTACATGGATAGTGGGTAATCTGTCTGCATGGATAGTGATTCATCCATCTACATGGATAGTGGGTAATCTGTCTGCATTCCTGGATAGTGTGGATCATCATCCCTCTGATTCCATGCATGGCGTGGGTCATTCATTTGCATGGGTAGTTGGTCATCAACTCATGAATAGTGGGTCATTCAACTGTGTGGATAGTGGGTAATCCATCTGCATGGGTTGTGGGTCATTCCATGGATTGCTCATTCATGGGTAGCATGGGTCATTCATCTGCATGGGTAGTGGGTCATTCAACTGCATGAATAGTGGGTCATCCATCTGTGTGGATAGCAGGTAATCCCTTTGCATGGGTAGTGGGTCATTCCTGTGTTTGGATTGTGGATCATCCATCTACATCTGCATGGATAGTGGGTCATCCATCCACATATGTAGTGGGTCATCCTGTTTGGATAGCACGTCATCTTTCAGCATGGGTAGGTCATCCGTCCACATGGGTAGCGGGTCATCCGTCCACATATATAGTTGGTCATCCTGTTTGGATAGCAGGTCATCCGTCCACATAGTTAGCAGGTCATCCGTCCACATATATAGTTGGTCATCCTGTTTGGATAGCAGGTCATCCGTCCACATGGGTAGTGGGTCTGCACTGAGAGTGGTTTGGTCTCTCTATGACTACCTAAGTTATTGTAGGTTAAAGCTTCCTGAATATTTTTAACCTCAGCATACACCAACCCCCACTCACAAACTGTATTTCTTTTTCAATGTTAATTATAACGAATGTTCCTTGTATTACAGGTGTTCCAAAGAGTGGTCGCTCAGAAGCAAATGGCAAAAAGATAAATGAGTATTTCAAGGTAGATATTTGAAAATTTATGTCTTGAATCAGTCACCATAGAACTTTCTGTTTCCAGCAAAGACTTTATCTATAAGCTTTCTATCAGAGGACAAATATTAAAACAGGAGGAACATCTGTACTAGTTCATCCTAAACGAAAAGCTGTGGGATCATGAATTTCTTGTTTGAGTATATATTTGTGGTGATGATGGAACACAGTGTCTTATGAAGATACCCCACAAAATAGTCATAATCCTTAACTTCATTTGTTTAGTAAATTTTATCTGATTATTGGGTTATTTATGTTATGATTTCATTTGATATTCATCAAAATAATTTTAATATATTTTTCTTATGGTCATATTTAACCCGTCCGTTAATTCTTTGATTAGAAGTGTGTTAATGATCTGTATCTCGTAGACTAAAATTTAATCTAATGTATGACTTGCCATGTGCTAATGATATTTTGTCAGGATGGCTAGCTAATATGATTATTATGATGATGGTGGTGGTGATGATGATGATGATGATGATGTTTGTTTTTGCAGCAGAGCCAGTCTCCTAGTCGCAGTATTATCCCCCCTTCTGGAGCCAAGTCTCCGTCCCCTCAGGCTGCCACAGTGAGTACCAGCTGTCTCCTTCTTCCATACTGTCTTGGTGGGGTAAAAAGTGGTTAAAGCGTTAGTTAGTCATGCCGAATTTTCGGGTTTGAATCCCCACATGGGTAAAATATGTGAAGCCCATTTCTGGTATTCCCTTGCTGTGATATTGATGGAATAATGCTAAAAGCAGTGTAAAACCCAACTCACTCACTCACTCACTCACTCACTCTTTCATACATGGAGAGTATTAGCTCAGGGTGTCTGTGTACTGTACATGTCTTGGTTAGAAGACATGCCAACCTAATAATATGATATTTATGATGCAGAAAGACATCAGGGCCTGGTTATCATACAATGTCATTCTTAAGAAAATTATGGTTCCATTTTCCTACCGAAACCTCTTTTTAACTTCAGCCTTTTCAAATAAGATTCTGAGTAGGAATACATTGATATTATGAATTAAATACTAAGACATTCTCATTCAGTACAGGAACCTGTTTATTTCACCAAAATGTTAAGTGTGGATGTGTTTGTGACTTAAATATACCCACCCACAATGAGCTGACACACTGGTGCATTGGTGAAGAATTGTGGGTTATAGGTCATCTTGTGTCTCAAAACACCCAGGTCAACACAAGTTGTTTGTATCCATTGTGATGATGATTGCTAACCACACTCTTACACCATTGTTAGCTTGGTCGACACTTAGATCACAGACCCCTGAAGATCCCCTGAAGATCCGTTATAGAATTGGTCTTGAACAACCAATGCTTGTCTTAAGAGGATCGGGTGGTCAGGCTCATTGACTTGGTTGATACATGTCATGGTATCCCAATTGCGTAGATCTATGCTCATGCTGTTGATCACTGGATTCTGTGGTCCAGCCTCCATTATTTAAAGACCACTGCCATATAGCTGGGATATCGCTGAGTGTGGCATAACAAATGAACAAACTTTGATCACAGGCTCATGAACCTGAGGGGCGGTGGGGTAGCCTAATGGTTAAAGCGTTGGCTCGTCACGCCGAAGACCCGGGTTCGAATCCCCACATGGGTACAATGTGTGAAGCCCATTTCTGGTGTCCCCCGCTGTGATGTTGCTGGAATATTGCTAAAAGCGGGGTAAAACCAAACTCAGTCAGTCAGTCAGTCATGAACCTGGATCCACGTTTCTGAGTGACTCGTATGTAAATGTTGTCATTACTTTGTGTGTTCCAGAGTTACCTGGCTGCGTCCCCCCAGTCTTCATCAACGTGCAACTCCGACATCATCCCAAGCTACCCCGTGAGACCTGTGTACAGCTGCTCCAAGGCCGCAGAGGTGGGACAAGACGATATACCTCACACTGCACACTGTGTCCTTCATCTAGGACTATAGAGCGGTACACATGAATGAGGACTATACACAGTGATGCATTTGGGCTAGGATTACGCTAAACTATGTATTTCAGCTTGGACTATACAGAGCACTACAATTCAGCTGGGACTGTCTGGAGAGATATACTTCCACCAGGACTATATTGAGGAATACACTTAAGCTAGGACTTTCAGGAGTAACACGGGATCACTGGATTGTCTGGTCCAAACTCAATTATTTACAGACTGCCTCTATACAGCTGGAATATTGCTGATTGCGGCGTAAAGCTAAACTCGCTCACTCATTGAGGAGTAACACATTTCGGATATATGGAGTAATACATGTCAGATAAGATCACAGAATTACTTTGTTATATGGGACTACATAGAGCAATACACAACCACTAGGACTATATAGAGTAATACACAACCACTAGGACTATATAGAGTAATACACAACCACTAGGACTATATAGAGTAATACACAACCACTAGGACTATATAGAGTAATACACAACCACTAGGACTATATAGAGTAATACACATACTAGACTATATATAATACACACCACTAGGACTATATAGAGTAATACACAACCACTAGGGACTATATAGGTAATATAGGACTATATAGAGTAATACACAACCACTAGGACTATATAGAGTAATACACATCCACTAGGACTATATAGAGTAATACACATCCACTAGGACTATATAGAGTAATACACATCCACTAGGACTATATAGAGTAATACACAACCACTAGGACTATATAGAGTAATACACAACCACTAGGACTATATAGAGTAATATATATATAGAAGTAATACATCCACTAGGACTATATAGAGTAATACATAGGACTATATAGAGTAATACACAACCACTAGGACTATATAGAGTAATACACAACCACTAGGACTATATAGAGTAATACACAACCACTAGGGTAATACACACTATATAGAGTAATACACAACCACTAGGACATATAGAGTAATACACAAACCACTAGGACTATATAGAGTAATACCACCACTAGGACTATATAGAGTAATACACAACCACTAGGACTATATACTAGGACTATAGAGTAATACATATATATAGAGTAATACACAACCACTAGGACTATATAGAGTAATACACAACCACTAGGACTATATAGAGTAATACACAACCACTAGGACTATATAGAGTAATACACAACCACTAGGACTATATAGAGTAATACACATCCACTAGGACTATATAGAGTAATACACATCCACTAGGACTATATAGAGTAATACACATCCACTAGGACTAGATAGACTAATACACAACCACTAGGACTATATAGAGTAATACACATCCACTAGCACTATATAGAGTAATACACATCTGCTAGGACTATATAGAGTAATACACATCTGCTAGGACCATATAGTGTAATACACATCTGCTAGGACTATATGGTGTGATTTACTTCAGCTAGAATTCTATGTGATAATGTAACCAAGATGAAGAATAATGATTTTGTTTCATTTGTTAGACTTTGTAATGGCCGATGGTCCATGGACACAAACAGTGTCTCATGCTTTAAACTCTACACATCCGCTTAGCTTTACTTCTTATGAATTTTGTGAAATAGTGAGATCTCTGTTAGTTGACTTAAATACTGGGGTTCTGCTTCACAAGGAGATTGGGATAGCCTAGTAGTCCACACAGTTGTTTGTCCCACCGAAAGTCTGGGTTTGATCCCCCACATGGGTTCACTGTACCTATTTCTGGTCTTGTAGGTAATATGTTGTATTTCTTTATTCATCAGGAGGATGTGGATCAGGCGTTACCGAAAAGGACATCACCTTCTCGGTTCAGCGCCAACGTTTCTAAAATGCCGATGCCAAAGAGGCAGAATCGATCGCCTAACACCATTCACAATGGCACAGACACCCAGGTCAAAACATTTTCAAATTCTCCCCTTTTTCATTTTGTTGTTTTGTCACCTCTCATCCATCCACCTGACCACATCCACCTTTTTCATTGGCTGAAAATATAAATGTTCCGTTTCCATGGTAACGTGAGACCAAATTATTTCACTGAAACAGTTTTGAAATTAGGGGGCATGAGTAGTTGTTAGGGAATTACTTGCATGATTTTCAAACCACCATCACATACTTTCTTAGAATCCAGTGAGTTAGGTGTCTTTGTTCTAGTTCTATGTATCTATTGATATTGTAGCAATGTGGATTGAATAACTGTCACTTGAAGACCCATTACCTATACTACTAGACCACATGACCGTTGTATCCAAAACTACCTGTCCACATCATAGGTATGGCTCATGTTATGTTTGGGGTTACACTTTCTCAGTAAAGTACAGATTTTAGTACTTTTGTTGGGTTGAGTTCCATCTGTGATTCAGTCCCACACTCAGAGAGTCAGGCAGCTAATTGACATGCCAATTTACACTTATCAGACGGGTACACAAAGTCTGTGGACATAGCTACCAGTTGTCTGTGGTGGCTGGGTGGGTTAGACGGCTGACTTTGTGTGCTGACAATTAGGTGCCTGACTCTGAGAGTATGGGTTCGAATACTAGATGGGACTCAACACAACAAAATTACTAGAATCTGCACTTTACTTAGAAAGTGTAATCCCAAATGCAACATATGTTACATTTGACCACTTTCTAAATGGCATTGTGTATTCACACATCAGAGATATGGGTTTGGAAACAACACCTGAACTCCTATAGTTGACAGATGAAGATTTGCACTAGTTTGATTTAATTGTATGTTTGTCTCTTTTACAACACGATATCTCTTTGCATGTTGATTTGACAAACTATTCACGCGAGATTGCGTCAGGTGTACTTTCTTATCATCCAATCAGATGCCGAGGTTTCTGTAGTCTCGGTATGAGTGAGCGAAGCACTCACACCTCAGATATGATGTATGTGACTTGAAAACTCACTTAAACAGCCAGTTCTGAATGTAAATAAGAAAGGAAGTGTCAAGAAGCTGACATCTGCTTGGCTCAAGAAACTACATCTTTCGTTTAGATTGGGCTGTCAGAGTTGGCATTGACTACAGATGCACATCTTCAAGCAGACAGGAATCAGGGGATAGGATGTTAAATGAGATTGGTACCCAGTGTTTGTCAGACAAAGAGGCATGTTGCTGGTTGCTGTGTGATCTAGTTGTAGCAATGAGATTCCCCTGTAGGCATTAAGGATAGCCCATGCTGGTAATAAACACACAAGGGGAATCTGGGACTATGTTGGTCCCTGGTACCCCACACTGAATGAATGAGATGGTGAGAATGTGCAACTACTGCTGTGTTTTTTTGTTGTGTATTGATTGTCAGGCTCAGTTGGTCCGATACTGATGGTTGATATCCCACTGATGGTTGATATCCCACTGATGGTTGATATCCCACTGATGGTTGATATCCCACTGATGGTTGATATCCCAATCCCACTGATGGTTGATATCCCACTGATGGATGGTTGATATCCCACTGATGGTTGATATCCCATATCCCACTGACGGTTGATATCCCACTGATGGTTGATATCCCACTGATGGTTGATATCCCACTGATGGTTGATATCCCACTGATGGTTGATATCCCACTGATGGTTGATATCCCACTGATGGTTGATTATGACATATTATCAATTTCAGTCTGATACCCCGTTGTTGTTTGACATGAACTATTCATGATCTCAGAATGATATCTCATTGTTGGTAGATATAAACTGCTGTTTTCAGACTGTTATTCCACTGTTGGGTGATACAAAGTATTATTGTTTTGAGACTGTTATCCCACTGTTGGTTGATACAAAGTATTATTGTTTTGAGACTGTTATCCCACTGTTGGTTGATATAAAGTATTGTTGTTTTCAGACTGACATGTCTATGGCCAGCATCCACTCCCTGGAGTCTCGGTCTGTAACAGATATAGAACAGAAAGACACCAAAATAGAAGACCTAATACGGGTAAGTGCTGAGCGGATGAAACATGCTTACACCCCACATTCAAAAGAAGACACCAACAGAAAGTAACACAAGTTAAGTCATGGTCACGATTAACAGTGCAATAAGGAGTAATATTTCATGTCTCAAGATGTGATGTGTATTGCAAGATGTGATGTGTATTGCAAGATGTGATGTGTATTGCAAGATGTGATGTGTATTGCAAGATGTGATGTGTATTGCAAGATGTGATGTGTATTGCAAGATGTGATGTGTATTGCAAGATGTGATGTGTATTGCAAGATGTGATGTGTATGTGATGTGTATTGCAAGATGTGATGTGTATTGCAAGATGTGATGTGTATTGCAAGATGTGATGTGTATTGCAAGATGTGATGTGTATTGCAAGATGTGATGTGTATTGCAAGATGTGATGTGTATTGCAAGATGTGATGTGTATTGCAAGATGTGATGTGTATTGCAAGATGTGATGTGGTGTCATAAAGTTGGGTCCCATGAGGAATCTAGGATGAAACTGGTCCCTAGCAACCTACTTGTTGTAACTATTCATGAAGATCAAGGTTGTCCTCCGCAACCTATATTTATGTAAGCGCGACTAGGGGAATTGGGTGATCAGGGTCGCTGATGTGGTTCATGCATGTCACTGTATACCAACTGCGTAAGTCAGTAATCATGATGCCAATCACGGAATTGTCTACTCCAGACTCGAATATATGCAGACTACCATGATAAAACTAAGCAATTAAGCATGAGTCAGGATAAGTATAAAGTATCAATTTTAATCAAAAAACTAGAAAATTGCTGATCAAATTTAAATAGCAAGCAAGCAAACAGGAAAACAAACGTTATAAGCCATGATATCACAGATCAGTATGTCGTACTAGCTGACTAGGTTTAGCACCTGTCTTGTTCATGGTGGTGGTCAAATTAATTGAAATAATCAAAGATTGGTCGCAGTGACTAAATGACCAAGCAATTGATCATGTTTTCTCATAATTGAACACAAACAATTCTGGAACACTTGTTTTCATCAACAATATTTTTCACAAGGTTGGTTTTGTCTGTTACATTTCATAAGCACTACAAGCTTGTTCCAAGTCATCAATGAATTTATCTTAAAGACATCAAGAAATTTATGTTCTTAACATACCAGTCATCCTTTAAAGATGTGAAATTTTGCCCCCCAAAAACAAAATATAAGTACATGTTTTTTCCTTATATTTTTGTGCATTAACAGATTTCATAAGTGACGCTAACCAATTAATTTCAGTGATTGATCGGTTGTCATGAACCAATCATCAATTATGAGATTTTAACCAATTCCCAACACTACTCGTTAACCCATGTAGTAGATTGATGCTCATTATATCAATCGCTGGTACAGAATGTTATTTACAGGCTGCTAGTCAGCTGGAGAATTGCTGAGTGGCCTAATACATGATTATTTCTTAAAATATGAATATATTCCTCTGCTGTTTTGGACGATGGATGTGTTATTTGGACAGACTAGAACGTTGTGATGCGTAATTATGTGATGGATGATGATGGATGTGTTATGTGGACAGACTAGAACATTGTGGATGTGATGGATGATGGATGTGTTATTTGGACAGACTAGAACGTTGTGGATGGATGATTGATGTGTGGATGTGTTATTTGGACAGACTATTGTGATGGATGCTGGATGTGTTATTTGGACAGACTAGAGCGTTATGGATGATGGATGTGTTAATTGGACAGACTAGAACGCTAGAATGTTGTTTGGTGGATAATGGATGTGTTATTTGGACAGACTAGAACGTTGTGATGGATGATGGATGTGTTATTTGGACAGACTAGAGCGTTATTTGGACAGTAGATGGATGCTGGATGTGTTATTTGGACAGACTAGAACGTTGTGCTGGATGTGTTATTTGGACAGACTAGAACGTTGTGATGGATGATGGATGTGTTATTTGGACAGACTAGAACGTTGTGATGGATGCTGGATGTGTTATTTGGACAGACTAGAACGTTGTGATGGATGATGGATGTGTTATTTGGACAGACTAGAACGTTGTGATGGATGATGGATGTGTTATTTGGACAGACTAGAACGTTGTGATGGATGTGTTATTTGGACAGACTAGAACGTTGTGATGGATGCTGGATGTGTTATTTGGACAGACTAGAACGTTGTGATGGATGTGTTATTTGGACAGACTAGAACGTTGTGATGGATGATGGATGTGTTATTTGGACAGACTAGAACGTTGTGGTGATTTATTTCTGTTTGATTACTCTTTCAGCAAAATGATGAGCTCAGGAGGCAGTTAACAGCTCAACAAAAACTTTTAGAAAAACACAAAGAAAATTTGCAGAAATGTTTGGAGGTCAACAAATCATTACTTATAGAAAAGGTGAGACTCAAGATTGTTCAAAACTCAACTGATCCAGGACAATCTGTTTCCAGGGTCTTACTTGTGTCTTGTCTGGTCCGGGGCGGTGGGGTAGCCTCGTGGTTAAAGCGTTCGCTTGTCACGCCGATGGCCTGGGTTCAATTCCCCACATTGGTACAATGTGTGAAGCCCATTTCTGGTGTCCCCCGCCGTGATATTGCTGGAATATTGCTAAAAGCGGCATAAAACCCAAATCACTCACTCACTCTCTCACTCTTGTCTGGTCCTCCATGAAGCTTCCAGGAAGTGGTAAGAGCTGCCGAAACGGGCTCTTAGCTGACTGTGTCATTGTGATGGCTGTTCATGATTCCGTCACTGGTCTGTCTGTGGTTGTCAACAGGCGGCTGTCACACAGCTGAATAATGCTGACTGTGGCGTCAATATATTCAATGCTTCCTGTCTACTTGACTGTGATGGTAAACAGTCTTGGTCTGAATCGTAGAACACAAAATGTCTCCAGTGAAATGTCTCCTGAAGTAATTACTACAATCTGTTTGGGTCAAAATGATACCGAGGAATCACAGCCTGACTCAAAATCGGTTCATGATCAAACATCCATTTCAACGCAGAATGTTACGAAAACATTCATAACGTTTGTCGCCAAAGTAAAAAAGTTACTTAACAACTATCATCATTTTGTTTAAATTTCTGTGTGAACTTTACGAGGGTAAAGTAAAAGTAGATTGTGATTCATCGGTATCATTTTGACCCAAACAGATTGTAGATATTAACAGCATATAGTAGCACTGGATATCATGCGCAAAGAGCTGCTCCATTATTTGAGTCAATGGATCAGTATTATCTCTGATTTCATTCTCTGCTCTCTGTGGAGTACACAATCCAAGCTGACAATGAGGCCATATTACCATCTCATGCTAGCATCCTACCGGGTACCCACTCACTGCTGAGTGAACAGGGGCACTGAAACTTTTTTAACAAACTCATGTAATAGATGTGCTTCAGTGAGAGGCAGGACTGGAGCCCAAGAAACTTTTATGTCAAAAATATCTTAAAAATGACATTGAACTCACTCTTTGCAATTTGTGTTCCAGAGTACATTAGTCAAAAAAGAGACGAGACAGAAATGTATGGAGAACCGACTGAGATTAGGTCAGTTTGTTACACAGCGTCAGGGTGCCACGTTCGTGGAGAACTGGGTAGACGGCTGGGCTTTCACAGACCTCATGAAGTAAGTGTAGCCTTATGATGACAACAGAAAGCATGCATGTCGTCATGCCACGCCTGTCATGACAGTTTGTTCAAATACGTTGTTGCAGTCATTTTGTGTGAATTGTTAATTTGATATTAGCGCTGATAAATTTTGATTGCTTGTGCTTGTGCTTTGATTATGAATAATTGCCTCTGAATACCTGAAAGTAGGTGACAGAATATTTAATAATATATTAAGTTAGAAAATCAATAACTAAATTCATTACTACGTTGGGTCTATTACCCTGCTTTATTGTTATAAATACTTACTGTTGGCATGTTTAGGTATATGTTCATGTCAATTTAAGACATCAGACTGAATGAGACTAAGCTATTGATCACTGGCAGTTTGGTATGTGAAGTGACAGTTATCCAAATACAGGAACGTCCATGTTGAAATGCATCATGGTTGGCATGTCCTTATTAACGATGAAGGTGTACTGGTTATGCTCAGGCTATGAAGCTCAGAATACAGTAATGTGCCACAATTAGAATATATGTATACTTTTTTATCACTTGGATCACGGATTTGATTAATGTCATAGTGACAAAACTAAAGTTCAAATGGGCATTATTGTAGTAGTTAAACAAAGGCAACATTGAAATCAGACTTTTACTTCACTCATAAAGATGTTTCAGGGCCATGCATTGTCCCGTGGGACCTACCATTTAATAATCTTGGGGGTTCTGGGAATTATTTCTGTGAAAGGAGACTACAAATTTACTGTTTTTTGCAACACGTGTATTTTTCAAGAGACCCATGAATCCTGCAAACCTCTTTTGTAAGTTTAAAACATGGACAAATATTTTTGTACATTGAGAAAATAAGTCATTTTTTTTTAAGTTGGAGCCCCCTTGATTATCAAATGGTCAGTCCCAAAGGTTAAGAAACTGTTGAATAATTGAACCAAATTAATTTCTATTTTTTTCACTTTCAAACATTGGAGCAGGCGGATCCGTGATCCAAGCAATAAGAAAAGGTTAGAGCTAAACATATGTATATATTCCTTGACTTATTAGCTATACTCACAATCTTCTGCCCTGTGTAGCAAGATCGGCACTAGTTAGAGGTCAGAGGACCTTTTAACAGTCATTCTACTTGCTGTTCAGAGTTCTGTCCCTTAGTTGTTGGGATCCGCTGAACTGGGATCAAATCCTCGGTTCATCCCGATTGTGACCCATGTTTGTCAGCTTCCCCGCTGATTTTACCCAAACTGCGTCACTTAAGTCTTTTCTTGCACTCAGACTCGTATGCCATGACATAATTGAAACACTGTTCCAAGTGGCTCTGAACCCAACTCACTCACTCACACACATGTGTACATGGTAGTTGCTTCTCTAGGATTGCTTGGGTGTGTGGTTTTCTCACTTGTTGATGCTTTCTTGTGGTTACGATGAATTTTACACGAATGGCTGGTGAAAGTGCTACTTGATAGATGAAGGCTTCAAGGAGAGCGTCATCCTAGATTCTCAACAAAGTGTAGACAAATCCAGGCTGGGTGGGAAGTAGTGTTGTTGGGATATTTATGAAGTTCTGTTTTTAATTCAAACTCATTTCAACATTATGTCTTGAGACTGTGTTAGGATTTTCTCTACAGGACCATTTACATAGATATTAGTTATGCATTAAAATACTTGTGAAATGCCTGTACTCTTCTAAAAAAGGCAGGGGTGGAAATAACTTTAAAATTGCTAGTGCACTCCGGTACAGTGGCACATGTAAAATCACTTGCCCTGATCATTTTTCCACAATACTAGCTGTTTTCTTGTTGATATTTTACATAAAGAACATAATTAACATTGGAAAGTCAACTGGACACCGGTACAGTGTGATATACAAATTTGCTTGCCCGACAGAAAAAAAACACTGGACTCGGGCGTCGGGCAATGGGTTATTTCCACCCCTGAAAAGGCTTGTATAACACCTCATCTTGTATGTTTCATAATAAAAACCAAAGGATGTTACTTAACATATTTTGGTAGAAACAAACATGTTTGTAAGTTGTACTTCAGTAGGAGGCACAGTCATTTAAGGTATATCATTTCTCTGAAAACTGTTAAAGATAGCTTTAACCCAAACTCCCCTAACCCTGCATTTACTTGTAGTTGTGTAGTGATTGATTTATTGATCAGTAATTAAGTATTGGCTGTCAGGACAGTCATTGAACTAATCTTCATCTAATCAACATAATGTTAAGGAATTCAGAAGAGCAGGGTTAACAACCTTTGTGATGCACAGAAAGGTTCCAGCACTAAGAAGGGGACAGATATATCCACCATTACAAAGTAGACATGACAATGGACGTATTACTAGGAGCAATCCTCGTTATAAACTGGTCTTTCACAGAAAGTTTGTTGTGAGAGTTGACTAGATTCAGTCATGTTATTAGACTCTCTGACATGCTATACTGCTCATCAGGCTTGCTGACTTGGTTGACACATGTCATCGGTTCCCAATTACGCAGATCAATGCTCATGCTGTTGATCACTGGATTGTCTGGTCCAGACTCAATTATTTACAAACTGCCACCATATAGCTGGAATATTGCTGAGTGCGGCGTAAAACTAAATTCACTCACTCTACTGCTTATAATATCAACCACTGGTTTGTCTGTCTGAGACGGTATATGTACCAGCTGCGGGATACGTGTTCAGTATAAACAACAACCATAATGCTTAAACATCTGAGTTGATGTCTCACCTCAGTTGATGTCTCACCTCAGTTGAAGTCTCACCTCAGTTGATGTCTCACCTCAGCTGATATAACTCTTAGGGGCAGTAGAGCAACCCAGTGGTTAAAGCGTTCACTTGTCATGCCGAGGACCTGGGTTCGATTCCCGACATGTGTACAATGTGTGAAGCCCACTTCTGGTGTCCCCCGCCATAATATTGCTGGAATATCGCTAAAAGCAGTGTAAAACTAAACTCACTCACTCACTGTTGTTGAAGAGAAAAAGTTAAGGATCATAAATATTTTGGAGGGGATGATGTGTTTTTAAAATTGAATATATCTGTCTTTACTGCAAAAACTATCTGAAGTATTCATAATCCACAGTTATTTATAAATAATATTTTTGTAATATAGAAAGAAATCTTCCGTGTTACTATGGCCTGGATGTGTTGCTGATGGTGGATGTGGTGTTTGTGTGTTGCAGACAACAGGAGAGGATCGGAACGGACCGGGAAGACATAGACAAACAGCGCCGGCTACTCATGAAGAGAAAACCAACAATGTCAACAGGGAAAAACTCCAAACAACACGAGTTCCTCAAACCAGGGCAAGAGAAACCGTGAGTCCATGTTTACAACAGTTGAAGGAATGTAAGCTGTATACAGCCTCTTCTCTTTAATGTTTCTATGGCTGTTGGGTCTAGGCTGGAATATGCTCCTCTGATTATGTTCAGGGTTTGAAATTGGCAGCCAGTCTTATACTTGTAAAAGTGGGAGAGGACAAGATACATTTAAGACCTGGTGCAGTAACAGAGGTCCATGGTTTGTAACTCCCATATGTACAGATCGGGTATATTTGCCCATTTTACTTACATGTCAGTGTACATAGAGGATATTATATGAGTGCCCATGTCATACTATGTTTATGACACAAGTGCCTAAATGTTGGTATTTCCTGAGCGAGGGATATACCGATATTTAGGCACGATTGTTGTAAACATAGTATGATATGGGCACAAATATAATATTCTGTTTATTACCGAAGTCGTCAAATTGAGGAAAATAAACCCAAATCTCCTTTCAAACATAGGCTGTCTACCCGCCATCGCCGCATGTAGAACGCAACGTCACAGAAGAAACGTGACATCATAGCATTGTTCATGACGTCACATCACCATGACAAAGTGATATTTTACCCTAGAGCATCGTATGAAAAATATGAACCCCGATATGTTCGCCCTCGTAGGTAATAAATACCTATATTCTGTTGCCAGGTTAACGTTAGCCGAGTTTTATGAGCAGGATGAGATCCTGAAATTACGACAAGCGACCTTGAAAAAAGAGGATGCTGACCTTCAGTTGGAGTTGGAGAAGCTGGAGAGGGAACGTAACCTGCATATACGAGAACTCAAACGAATTCACAATGAAGATAACTCAAGGTAAAGACTCTCAATGTTCTTTCCCTGTTGTTGAGAATTCCATCATTTTTATTTTAATTTAGTTATTGTGGTACTAATTGTTGAAAAGTGAGTTGAGGGACTACCTAAAGTGGATGCATGAATATATTCTTTCACTATTATGTCTCCTTCGAGAGCCAGGATGTGCTGATTTGAAATTTATATTGCTCTGATTATGATCAATTTGTGTGTGATCACCTCACATGTGGACATGGAAGTAGTAAATGGTAAGAATTTCATCCACTTGGGCCTCTCCCAGTTACCAGTAGGCTGACATACAATGTTATGGTTCAAGGCCTGTCATCACAATGGAAACTTCTAATTTCACCAGAGTGGTCAAAGTCAATTTATTCTCAGATTTCCTCCAACAGCGCCATTCAAAGCTGGTGATGAAAAGTGGAAAATGTTAAAGGAACGCTTGAATTTTCCTCTGTTCCTTTATTTGTTTCTCTCAGTATATATTATTCACCCTGCCACAAACACAAGATCGTTCCAAATGGAATGTCGAATTTTGTTGATTTATTTGTAATACTGTGATTTTGATCTGTTTTACAGGTTTAAGGATCATCCAACGTTAAACGAGAGATACCTGTTGCTGTGTATGCTGGGGAAGGGGGGATTCAGTGAAGTCCACAAGGTAAGGGGGGATGGACGCGTCACATCTCCACGGATTCACCTTGAGTCCTATATTTGAGGGTCCCTGGGACTCATACCCTTAATTTTCAGGGGTCCTGGTCAACAAAATGGGGGTCCCGGACAATTAAATATTATTATTAATACTGTTATTGTATTGTGTATCATGATCATCACATTGTTACAGTAATCAAATTGCAAATAATACTATAGAGTATAATACAGTTAGTAGCAAACTCAGTGATAACTTATTGTCACTTGGTTGGAATTTTTATAAACAGTATTTGGACTTTCTCTGAGTCCCTGTGGATGTGCTAATAAATTTGGTTGCGTCCATTGTCAATTTTTATGAGTATAGGATGCAGGAATTCGCATCCTGTAAATCCCTTTATCTCTGTGGTGGGTGGGGTGGGACTGTAGCATTCTGGTCAACTTGTCAATCTGAAGACCATGGTATGATTGTAATGATTGTGCTAAACATGAAGCCCATGGAATGATTGTGCTAAACATGAAGCCCATGGTATGATTGTAATGATTGTGCTAAATATGAAGCCCATGGTATGATTGTAATGATTGTGCTAAATATGAAGCCCATGGTATGATTGTAATGATTGTGCTAAATATGAAGCCCATGGTATGATTGTAATGATTGTGCTAAATATGAAGCCCATGGTATGATTGTAATGGTTGTGCTAAACATGAAGCCCATGGAATGATTGTGCTAAATATGAAGCCCATGGTATGATTGTAATGATTGTGCTAAATATGAAGACCATGGTATGATTGTAATGATTGCTGTTGCTGAAACATGAATGATTGTGCAAATGGAATGATTGTAATGATTGTGCTAAATATGAAGCCCATGGTATGATTGTAATGGTTGTGCTAAATATGAAGCCTATGGTATGATTGTAATGGTTGTGCTAAATATGAAGCCTATGGTATGATTGTAATGGTTGTGCTAAATATGAAGCCTATGGATTGTATGATTGTAAAATATGGATTTTGCTAAATATGAAGCCTATGGTATGATTATTGTAATGGTTGTGCTATATGGTATGATTATTGATGATTGTGCTATGGTATGATTGTAATGGTTGTGCTAAATATGAAGCCCATGGTATGATTGTAATGATTGTGCTAAATATGAAGCCCATGGTATGATTGTAATGATTGTGCTAAATATGAAGCCCATGGTATGATTGTAATGATTGTGCTAAATATGAAGCCCATGGTATGATTGTAATGATTGTGCTAAATATGAAGCCCATGGTATGGTATGATTGTAATGATTGTGCTAAATATGAAGCCCATGGTATGATTGTAATGATTGTGCTAAATATGAAACCCATGGTATGATTGTAATGGTTGTGCTAAATATGAAGCCCATGGTATGATTGTAATGATTGTGCTAAATATGAAATGGTATGATTGTAATGATTGTGCTAAATATGAAGCCCATGGTATGATTGTAATGGTTAAATGGTATGATTGTAATGATTGTGCTAAATATGAAGCCCATGGTATGATTGTAATGGTTGTGATTGAAGCCCATGGTATGATTGTAATGCTAAATATGAAGCCCATGGTATGATTGTAATGATTGTGCTAAATATGAAGCCCATGGTATGATTGTAATGATTGTGCTAAATATGAAGCCCATGGTATGATTGTATTTGTGCTAAATATGAAGCCCATGGTATGATTGTAATGATTGTGCTAAATATGAAGCCCATGGTATGATTGTAATGATTGTGCTAAATATGAAACCCATGGTATGATTGTAATGATTGTGCTAAATATGAAGCCCATGGTATGATTGTAATGATTGTGCTAAATATGAAGCCCATGGTATGATTGTAAATGATTGTGCTAAATATGAAGCCCATGGTATGATTGTAATGGTTGTGCTAAGTATGAAGCCCATTGATGATATGCCTGGTGCAGTGAGTCTGGAATGTTGACTCTTATTATGAAACTGATGAAATGGTTGTAAGTATTACAGTGTATGCCCCAATACAACCACAATGATTGACCTGTAAAGATCTGGGTACAATTGATCTTCAGCAACCCATGTTTGTCATAGGGGTCGACTAACAGGATCGGGTGGTCAGGTTCACTGACATGATTGGTACGTCGTCATATCCCAATGGCTCTGATCCATGCTTGTGATGTTGATCACTGGATTGTCTGGTCCAGCAGATCCATGCTCATGATGTTGATCACTGGATTGTCTGGTCCAGCAGATCCATGCTCGTGATGTTGATCACTGGATTGTCTGGTCCAGCAGATCCATGCTCGTGATGTTGATCACTGGATGGTCTGGTCCAGACACGAATAGTTACAGACCACTGCCTATAGCTGGGATATTGCTGATAGCCCCCAAAACAAATAACCCCAAACAACAACAACAGATCATCCTATTACAGCTCAAGCTTTAATAATCTACCAAAACAATTAATAGTTTTACGGAAACTGCTGGTATATTGCTAACTGGCACATCATTTACTTGTAGTCATTGTGACCTGTGACCTGTGACACATGCCCATGTCTTTCTCCTCTGTTTCAGGGTTTTGATTTAAAGGAACAGAGATATGTAGCATGTAAAATTCACCAGTTGAATCGTGAATGGAAAGAAGATAAGAAAGCTAACTATATCAAGTAAGTCTTTGGGGATTTTGTATATAATGTATATTATTTTGCTTTTAATGTATCTTCTTAGTGTGTTATTAGGAATTAACGATCATTGACCTCAACTGTGTGGCAGTTTGAGACATGATGAATCCACTCACTTGTGATTGATGCTCATGCTACAGATATGCCGTCAAAATAAGTATTATCCTTTGTGACATCTGATATGGGAAATGGAAACATGGAAGTCATTTGCTTTAGTCAGGCACTTTTAGCCCATCCAAGGCATTTTGTTGACCAGTGCAAATTTTGCCCGTGGCTGCTGTCCATGTCCTGGTCTATCTACATGTTGGTTTGTTTTGATGGTGTCTTTGATTATGTTTCAGACATGCTCTTAGGGAGTACAACATTCACAAGAGCCTAGACCACCCAAGGATAGTTAGATTGTATGATGTTTTTGAAATTGACAATAATTTCTACTTGTTGAGTCGTAAGTATAAATTGCTGTTGCTGTTTTTACCAATCATTTGTTTATGTAAGGGTTTTAGTTTATTGGGGTTTAGGAGACATTATCAGGGCTGACAACTGTAAATGGATATTGTGACGTAAAGGATCATTTGTTTGCTAAAACATTATTCAAAATGCTTAAGTCATTTGGTTCCAAAGACCCCTGGCTAACTTTCAGTGGCCTTTGCACATAAATGTCTTTGATTTATTGGGTTGATGTATATCATTCGAGTACTGTATGGGGTCTTTGGTAAATGCTGATTCCATGGACCTAGTTTTGTAAAGTCAAACATAATGAAAACAGTGTTTTGATGCTCAGCTTATTCTCTCCTCAGACAAGTTATTAATGCTTTATGAAAAGCAAATTCACTAATTTTTCAGATCACACATTTCATTCCATTATATCATGCTCACTGCTGAAACAGCTGATAGCTGCCAATCAACTTATGAATTCATGGATGCTTTTATTTGTGTTTCAGATTTTGTACAGTGTTAGAGTATTGTGAGGGCAACGACCTTGACTTTTATTTGAAACAGAACAAGTGCATTCCAGAGAAGGAGGCTCGCTCTATCATCTGTCAGACTGTCAGTGCCCTCCGCCATCTCAATGAGATCAAGCCAGCTGTGATACATTATGACCTTAAACCAGGTGAGATATGACCTTGACCTTGACTTTGACCATGCAAACAGGTGGTTGGAAATATGTTTGTTTTACTCCTTTTACGAAATGCACAAAATTTGTTTTCGAGTTAACAGATATGACGTTTCTATCTGAAATGTGTCCTTCACCTTTGGAATGACCTTGTATCATGAAACTTTCACATGTTATTTGTTTAGATATACTGAGGGAGAGAAATAAGGGATCACATGAAAGCACAAGTGTTCCCTTTATTTGTTTCCAGGTTTCTTCTCAAGCTATGCAATACAGCACTTGTGAAGAAACCTGGAAATAAATGAAGGAAAACTCCTGCTTTCATGTGATCCCCTTATTTCTTTCCCTCATTATATATATATGCAAACCTTCGTAATATTTTCATTGTTAAATAGTAAATAAGAATCTGATGCAGTGTCGTTCAAGCTGAATTTCCTTTTAAGCAAACTATTTTTCATTCCTTAGGAAATATCCTGTTAGGAAGTGGGTCCGTGAGTGGCGAGATCAAAATCACCGATTTTGGTCTGAGCAAGATCATGGACGATGAAAACTTCTCCCCTGACATTGGGATGGATCTCACGTCTCAAGGGGCAGGAACGTACTGGTAAGATTCACTGGAATATATATATATATGTGAAGCCCATTTCTGGTGTACCGTCCTGTGATATTGCTGGAATATTGCTAAAAATGGCATGAAACTAAACTCACTCACTCACTCACCCAGACTCAATTGATTGGGCAGCAGTGATATTGTTGCAATACTGGTAGGATGTGAGACAACTGACAAAAAAGCTCTCGTGATTATGGCAAGATTACTTAGTATGAATAGTTGAGTCACCTACATGCCTGTCATATCGCCCTGCTTTTGTTTTACAGGTACTTGCCCCCCGAATGTTTTGTGGTGGGAAAAACACCTCCAAAGATTTCTTCCAAAGTTGATGTGTGGTCGGTCGGTGTGATATTCTACCAGTGTCTCTATGGTAAAAAGGTAGGTTGACTCCTATGGGTACTGGGATATAGAGATGTGTACCCTTAAAAACATTAGAGCGTCCGCCTGGAGAGCGGAAGGTCGTGGGTTCGATCACCGACTGTGTCATACCAAAAGACATAAAATATGGTACTTGTTGGTCCCTGCCTGGCTCTCGGCATTAATGGGTACAACAAGGACTGGTCGGCTCGGAGTCAGTATAATGTGTCTGAGTGGGGTATTCATGCTTCACTGCGGCATGGTATCTCAGTGGGCTAGCACTATAAAACCAGCTTCAGTCTGGGCTAGTACAGGCAGCCACACATACTCACGCATGCACGTCGTCATATGAACAAAATATTCTCAAGCATGCCGTTAAACCCAATTTCACCTCACCTCACCTCACCTCACCTCACCTCACCTCACCTCACCTTAAAAACAGTTGTATTGCAGTGTGTTGCGATATATGGGGAGTTGAAGTGCTTGGCAGTGATTCATACTTACAGTTCATGCAAATAATGTTTCCCACATACGAAATATAATTCAGCATTATCAGTTGCTGATATGTTTAGTTATGAACACAGGGAGGGAGAAAAATCACTTCCATATTTGAACTATTTTGTCTATAAATTGTAAAGGAAAACATCACTTAATTCATTAATGAATACATTTACTATTGAAACAAGTTATGAATACATTTACTATTGAAACAAGTTATGAATACATTTACTATTGAAACAAGTTGTATACTTTTTTACCCTATATACTGGAATACAGAAGAGATGTTGCAGTATGTTTCATTTGAAAAGCATTTCGCAATATACCAGTACGGTATTAATATTGTGCTGTCAGTATAAACCAAACTGTTTGATATAACTCCACACTCTTGCTCTTGCCGTGAAATTCAGTGTAAACTAGTCAGATTTTGTTGTAATATTTCCTGTTGTATTTTCAGCCATTTGGCCACAACTTGTCTCAGGCCGCCATCTTGGAGGAGAATACAATTCTCAAAGCTACAGAGGTTGACTTCCCTCCTAAACCGCCCGTCTCGTCAGAAGCTAAGGTATGTCCTTTTAAACTCCCTCTATCCCCCTACTCCATCTCATCAACCCGTGAAGATCCAGGTTAGAATATTGGACTTCAGTAACCCATGCTTGTCGTAAGACGCAGCTAACGGGATCGGGTGGTCAGGCTCGCTGACTTGGTTGACACATATCATCGGTTCCCAATTGCGCAGATCGATGCTCATGCTGTTGATCACTGGATTGTCTGGTCCAGACTCGACTTATTTACAGACCGCCGCCATATAGCTTAAATATTGCTGAGCGCGGCGTAAAACTAAACTCACTCACTCATGAGTAATAAAGATATGAACCTTTGAAACCCAAGTGTCATGAGAAACAAAAATATGAACCTTTAAAAACTCCAATTTTCTCAAAAGTAAAGATGACAGCCCTCGCAAACCCCAGGCTCGTCAAAAGCTGTGGTACCACTGTTAGAATGGAGTGGCAGTGCTCTGGTCGTACGTTCTAATGTCTGACTCTTTCATGTTGCAGGCATTTATCCGGCGCTGTCTTCAGTATAAGAAAGACTTCCGGCCTGATGTGCTGATGCTGGCACAGGACGACTATCTGAAACCCCCTCAACTCAAATCCAAGTGAGTGAGTGGCCTCTGTCTCCTTCTTACACTTTGTAACTGACACTGCACTGTACTTACGGTAAAAACGTTGATAATTGAAAGTTAATAGTTATTCATTGATGTTAAAAAATAAGAAATGGTAACATCTCATATGGTAAAAACTTTTCACTTTTTAATGGCAATTGGCACCTCGTATTGATTTACAATATTGTCTTTCGAATATGCTTCTCAGAACAAGTTGAAGAACACCTACAAATGGAAGGCTGTGTGTTGAGATTGCCAACATCAATGATGGATTAATTATCATGAAAAATTCAGGTTTTCATGAACATTTTTTAAGTAATATATTAGATGTTGTATTGAGTGTGGCCGCTCAGATGGCAGGTATGATGGGGAATGATTTTGGCTAGATGCTGAGTGACCTATGAAAACAGCTCCTGTTTTGTTGAATGTTTGACTTATGTTATGGTGAATGTTAGCAAGAGAGTAACCAAATGATGTGTGTTACAGTGAATGTTTGTAAGACAAGCTGGCCAAGCAAATGCCAAGTGTAATGGTGAATGTGAGACAGTGTCTGGCTGATTGAGTGTCACATGTTCTAGTGTGTGTTTGTGAGAGAGGTTGGCCAGTCCAAGGGTGCATCTGTTGGTGAATGTCTGTGAGACTGAGATTGGCCAGTCCAAGGGTGCATCTGTTGGTGAATGTCTGTGAGACTGAGATTGGCCAGTCAAGGGTGCATCTGATGGTGAATGTCTGTGAGACTGAGATTGGCCAGTCCAAGGGTGTATCTGATGGTGAATGTCTGTGAGACTGAGATTGGCCAGTCCAAGGGTGCATCTGTTGGTGAATGTCTGTGAGACTGAGATTGGCCAGTCCAAGGGTGCATCTGTTGGTGAATGTCTGTGAGACTGAGATTGGCCAGTCCAAGGGTGCATCTGTCTGTGAATGTCTGTGAGACTGAGATTGGCCAGTCCAAGGGTGCATCTGATGGTGAATGTCTGTGAGACTGACTGGCTAATCAGTGACCTGGTTCCATGAAGTCGTGATACTAAGGCTTCTGTTTCAGACATCTGGACAACAGTGTGAGTCAGGCACCTGGGAGCAGCAACTCTACACAGGGACCGACCATCAACCTGAATCAGTCTCCGTCATTCTCCTTCGGGGATAAATACTCATAGCTCAACATGAGGGACCCTCGTGGGCAAAGGCCAAACAATGTCTGAAGCATTCGCTCCAGACCAACTTCATCTGGGTCAAACACGTCATAGCATTCAATCTCCCGTTGTTGCGGAGATAACCACATATGCAAGCTCACTGCATTGGAAGCCTGTTGCCATGGTTTTTGTCTTGGTTTCCATGGCAACCAATTCCAAGACATTACTTTCAAGAAAATAATGAATCATCCTGCCTCGTCATATTTCTAAACAATTCTGCTGTGAAACACCCAGTGATAAGACATGCTGAGCAGCATACAGGAATGCATGTGATTCGGCCCTCATGCAGGTGCGAATGGTCGCCATGGAGATCCAAGGTGTCGTCATAGAGACAGAAAGGGTCGTCACGATTGTCCAAACAGATGTCATGAGGCCTAAGTGTGTCATTGTTGATATTCAAGATGTCATGAAGGAAGCCTGAATGGTAGTCATGGAGATCGAAGAGGCCCAAATGGTCATCATTATGCCCCAAAGTGTTGTGGTAATCCAAATTGTCGTCATTATGCCCAAAGGGTTCCTCTTGTAGGGGTCAGGATGCAGATCCAAGGCACCACCATGGAGTCGCCATAGAGATGCAAGAGATTCAGCCCTGTCTGTCTGTGTCTGCAGGAGGTGAAATCCTTTGGACTGTGTGGTGTGAGTGACTTGTGTCGGCGCCCTATCACATGATCTAGTGACATGCCAGCATTCCCGGAATCTTTGTGTCTGGATCCGCATCGTGTCATATGACACAAGTCTTAACTACCATGAGGAGTCGGATTTTTAGAGTGTCATGTGACAATCTCCAGTTTCACCACAGTGATCGGATACCTAAAGTGCCATACATCATGACCTGGTCGACAAGAAAGTTTCGCAACACCCAGGTGTCATGTCATGTGTCCAGGTGTTATTTCATTGGACCAGGTGTCATAGGATGTGTCCAGACAACTTAGATGTCAGCAGTTGCCAGACACTGGGTGCTCTGATGATGAATAACATGCAGCATATGACACGACGGAGCCTTCTTCGTCAACAGTGGCCAGACACCAGGTGTTCTTCTACGTCATGTGATATGTGCGACTGTGGAAAATGCTTTCAGTAGTGGATTATGGGCGAGTGTGATGATTCGACAAGCAGTGCTGAGAACCAAGTGATATGTATATATTCAACACGGTCCCAACTCATGTAGATAAACTGTGACATTTACAACCTGTATCAAGTGGTTCACCCAAAAACTTCTTTCAGTGCACATTTCCGTGGGTAATAAACCAAATTTTCGGGGTATCTGTCACATGCTTCACTACCTATGATCAGCTTCATCCATGTCCTTCAAACCAGCTCAATGAAATAGTAGCTTCAAAATATAGGTAAATGATTGTGCCAATCCATTAATGGAGGGTTTTCAGTAAGATTCTTCATCCATCCTGTGATTAAGGTGTTTGCTCCACATTATGTAGGCCTGGGTTCGGCTCCCCAAATGGGTTTAATGAATGAAGCCCATATTCTATGTCCCCTGCCATGATATTACTTAAATATTGCTAAAACATTTTATCAAATCATTAGACAAAGTGCTATGTTTATGTTGCTAGTTCATATACTGTTGGTTATTTAGAGGGAAGTGGGGTAGTGTACTTATCTCTAGCATGTATTTGACAAATGAAATCACCATGAGGTTTTCCTGATGAAAGTCATTAACTCACATGTGTCCTAATCAGAGGCTGGTAAACTTCCTGGGTTTGAAAACTGTTGATATCATTTGAAAGATGGTTCATATCTGGGAATGTATAGTCCTGGTACAGTGGCCTTTATGATCAGTTTATCTCAGCAGAGATTGTCTGTCATGAAATTATTATTATTATATGAATACGACCATTTCCATAAAATATGATTAATTTAGCCACAAATCTGATGGAAGTTTTAGTTGTCTTTTGATAAAGTAAACTTGGCGACTGTTAAGCTGTTAAGATCTAATTGAAAGTGTCTTGAGACGAGATCACGTAAGGACTACGGGAGAATGGTTCCCCATTTCAAGCCTAGTTCCAGACAACGCATAAATGCCAAATATCTGAATTTGCCCAGAGCCTCGTTTCACAAAGCTATCCTAGCTCTACGACTGTCGTAAGTCTGTGTTTATTCCTAACACTGGGGACTCCTGGGAATAATATTGGGGTTCTACATATTATTATTTAGCTTCAGGTAACAACTGTCATAAAATATGACAATAGAAAGTATTTGTGATGCTTTGTGCTTGTTATGCAGTGGGGCTTTCTTATGCAGTAAGACTCTTTGAACATTGATTGTATTTTTTCCCCACATTGTCAGTACATGCATCACAGTTTCAATCATTCCAATATTCATGTTGAGTCATTCTAAAAGTCGCTGTTTCAAGCAGCCAGTATCACCTTGTTTGCATGATTAATGCAATATTTCACTCTGGGGCTGTGGGGTTAAAGCGTCCGCTCGTCACGCCAAAGATGTGGGTTCAAATCCCCACATGAGCACAATGTGTGAAGCCCATTTCTGGTGTCCCCCTCCGTGATATTGCTGGAATATTGCCAAAAGCAGCCTAAAACCATACTCATTCACTCAATATTTCACATCGGGTAAAACTTGGCATGTATGAAATGCAGACCTGTTTCTTTGAAGCAGAAAGCATGGTATTGATAAACGTAAAGTTTAAGTTGACAGGCCTACAAATTGGAATTTGATGATGAAAATGAGAGATGTGGATGAAGTTGGTGCTAGTCTTTAGTGCAGCATGTGATGTGATATCTGCGACTACCCTCAGTCTCGCTGGTCCTCAGTACAGTACAGTCAGTGTGTCATCGTTATTCCATATGCTTGTGATTGTATAATAACTGCAATAACGGGTTTGGGTGGAGAAAACTTGTCTTGAGAAGACAAAAGTTTGATTTTTACAGAAGTTATGACATAACATGCAATTGGTTGTTTACACTTCAAAACAGTCCTCAGAGCAATCAAGCCATACCAAAGATATATCGTCACTTGTGTTCCTTCCGCAAGTCTCCTACATTGGCTATGTTACATGTTGCAGGATTTGTTTTTTATGTTAAGCTTTTGTTGTGCTTGGACCAGTCTCATTAAAAGCATTCATTTCTTTACCTCTACAATTTGAGGGGCGGTGGCTTAGCCTAGTGGTTCAAGTATCCGCTCGAAATTATGAAGACAAGGGTTCAATTCCCCTCATGGATCTAATGTGTGAATTTCTGGAATATTGCTGAAAGCAGTGTAAAACCATACTCATTCTTCAGTCTGATTTGCACATGAACAAACCTAAATGACAAAGAGATTCCTTCAGTGGTACTCCATTTTAGGTGTAGATGTGCTGTGTGTGAAATATCCGTCTTGAGATTTTCGTGCAGACTTATTTATCAATATTTGATCTGTATTTGGAGCCTGCTCTGTCGAAGTTAATGACGTATGTACATCAGATATTCAGGTCTGAAGGCTTCACTGACTCATGCTGATTGGTCAGTCACCTAATGCAACCCCCTCTGGAAGTATCCATGTGTCTTCAAGCAGAGAGGTATTGCATTGAAGTAAAGAACTGATTTTAATGAGATTGGTGGGCGTTCAATAAAGCAAGGAGGCAGGTGCTGTAAAGTCTGGCTGTGACTTTATTCTGACGATGTTAGGAGTGTTGTGGGAGCTGAATCAGCATTAAGAGTTACGTTTCTGATTGTCGTAAATACAGGGGTTGTCCATGTGTCCATCACTACTTCAGTCCTTGTTTTTGTCACATGACAACTCATGATACACTCCTGACACTACCGACCTGTTCTCTCTCTCCCCCCCCCCCCATCTGCCTACATACATTATAATACCAATCCACCCACTCAACAAGGACCTCAAAGCACTCTCAGAGTTCCAATACACCAGATTTTGACTACAAGTTTCAAAGTGGAATTAGAATTTTCCAAATTCTGACACCTGATACATGTATTTTTATCTTCTGACAGTGATTTGTAGTGTACTGATAATGCACTGGAGAGAAAAAAAGATAATGAATAAATTTCACACAGATGCGGTATGTGTAAATATGCATTGACTTTAGGGAAATGAGATTTGGATACAATATGTTTTCTGACCACTATGCAGAATTTGCATCTTTTTTGCCAGTGTTTGATTGTGGGTTAAAAGTCTGATTCACTTGATTTTATTTATTTGTTAGCGCATACCCTTGGTCCCTCTATACCGCCATACCGCCATACCGCCAACTCACTCACTCTCCGTCTATAAGCTGACATCTTGTGGTAAAACTGGAATACTGTTCAAAGAGGTCTTTGATCTCACTCACTCACTCAATCACACACTCACTCACTCGCTCTTGACCAACTCATTTACCTCACCCTGTACCTGGCCCAAGTATTTTCATAGGGTTAATTTTCTTCTTCAGACTGACAATTTTGAAAAATTTAATGTAAATCGGTTAAAATTCATTACCCAAGTTTGGAAAGCTTTGTATTTCAAAATGCTTCATATAAAGTGTTCAGGCATGCCAGTTTGACCTGTAACATGTTCATGCATGAAGGGGTGATGGGGTAGCCTAGTGATTGAGGCGTTCGCTCGTTAGGCTAAATACCCCGGATTCGATTCCCCACATGGACACATTGTGTGAAGCCCATTTCTGGTGTCCAGTGTTGTGATATGGCTGGAATATTGCTAAAAGTGGCGTCAAACCATACTCACTCACTCACTCACTCATGCAAAAAGACATAGACACCAACCCCAACCCCCTGAAATTCTACAAACCTGCAGAATTCCAAGATCATACCACTAAATCACACCTCGGCTATTACAAACAACAAATAAAACTAAAAATGGCCCCGCCCATTTCTGGGCTTCCCACATGGAGAATGCATGACAATCATTGTATCTATTTATTATCAGAATTATTGGTGGGTTATCTCCCATTGAAGACAGCTCAAGATAAGCATTCAAGCACACCTCTCCTGGCAACATGTTTCATGACTGAATCAGATTGCAAGGGAGTGTTCTAGCATGACTTTGTACCACTATTCAGAAGGAATTCAGGGGTAGGACATTCATTTTGAGTTCAGTAAAACGCAAATGAAATGAATTCAGGTACAGTGATTTTCCCTTGAGGGTGTGTTTGAGAACATGCATAAAGTAGTATCAACAGAGTTATCTCCCTTTTAACCTGTTTGCTTTTCTGAAGGAAGGAATGATGAAAGTATTAGTAAGGGAGATAACCCTGTGGAAAGGCTAGTTTCATGAAAAGATCTTTGGTTCAAATTGCCAGTAACAGTACAATTAGGGTTGTTTTAACATATTCGTTGAAACCTGTATATCAAGATGGGAAATGTTTAGAGAAATACTTGTTTGTGACTTCTTGAAACACAGAAAAGAACTGTTGATTTGTTGGCTTAAGGAAACTGTGCCTGGGAAGATTGAGGTTGATGGACTGAGGCATCCTTAATTTGCCTAAAGACAAGATGGTTGCCTGCAATTGGGACTGTGTCATTTAAGAGGAATAAATTCTTGTGACATTGTGAAATAGACTTGTACAGAACTTGTACATTGTGAATACTTGACTGAAGGAACATTTCTTGGAATTATTTTTCAAGTGTGGCGAAGACTGTCGATGGGAGTACTACCAGTGCATGTGATGTTGGAGTGCGTGAAGTCTGGAAACAAATGTGTGCGTCGTCAACTAATAGACATGAATTATTACATGTGTACTGCTCTGTTGTAGTTTCTACATGAGGCAAATGATCATTGATGTGTGATTCGGTGAGGTTGTCATGTTGTTCGGAGTTATGTCCCTTTGAGGTGTGTGGTCCATTCTGTCCGAGAAAATCTGTTTTTAGAATCTGTGAAAGTGTGCTAGGAGAGTATAGTCTGGTATCTCCAAAATTTAATGTGTTTTTAAAAATTATTTAGTGCCAGTTTATGACAATGTTTTACAAAACTATTTTGAAACCTGTAGCAACATCACATTCTTAATCATTCACTGATTCATGTGTTAACATCTGGATCGTGATCTGTCCATCAGAGACAAGACCGACCTGTATTTAATGCTAAGCTATGGTATGCAAGAATGAATGACGTTGTTCGTTGCCATGGTTATGTGTAATGTGTGTGAGATTTAGGCGCAAATTGTGCCTGGGTTATTGGTGTGCATGTATGAATGAATGTGCGATTGACGGGTCAATAAGAATTATGGACATTTTTAAATTCGTTGATAGAATCTGAATGAAGGCTCGTCTTCGCAGTTTTCTTTGATTTGATTTTTTTTTAACTGTTGGCGAAGCAGAGAGACTGTTTGCTTGCTGACCAAGGAGTCAGCTGATCAGTGGTTGTTTTTAAATGGAATAAATCATGTATAAAGTGTTGACTCCACATGACTTGTTATTCATAGACGTCTTCAGACCAACTAGGAAGTCACAGTGTCCCGAGAGAGCGTTGGGTAGACGAGTTCATTGTTACCCTAATCACTGTTAGACCCCCAAATGGGTACAATGTGTGAAGCCCATTTCTGGTGTCCCCGCCGCGATATTGCTGGAATATTGCTAAAAGCAGCTTAAAACCACATTCACAGTGTTCCAAGGTCTAAAGAAAGTATTTCGTGAAGACATATATAAAATATATATAAAGTCCGATGCCATGTGCCACGTAGTTCAAGTACACGTGTGACCATTAATCAGTCAGACCACCCATCAAAATGAGAATATCTTACCAAAACTGAAGCTAAAAAACCCACAGGAAACAAACTGACAATAACAAATATCAGCAACGCATATCTGATCACTTCTTTCAGTGGCATTTTAGAAATTAAGAAGTACAGTATTGACAAACGTTCTGGATAACAACTTATATTTCATTCCTGCTTGACAACAGTACAAGTGGATCGAAACCTTGCACTCACGAAAAAGAAAGTTGTCAATTTTGCATATCTGATCCATAAGATGTGCCCTGGTGCTGTTGTGTCAGGCTTCCTATAAATATCGGGGCGGTGGGGTAGCCTAGTGGTTAAAGCGTTCGTTCGTCACGCCGAAGACCCCAGGTTCGATTGCCCACATGGGTACAATTTGTGAAGCTCATTTCTGGCGACCCCCAACCCCCACCCGGAATATTGCAAAATACGGCGTAAACCCATGCTCAGTCAGCCCAATAAATATCTGTATGGAAGGATATATTGTCTTAAAGAAGAGTGCTGCAAAATGCCGGAAGAACATGGCTATCACACCTCGTTCCACATGTTCGTTAGTGACGGAGTTTGGTGAGCGGGCAGACCACGACCTGCAGACAATAGTTCCCTGCTCTTGATAGGCATCAACGACCCTGGCATGGTGAGGACGTGTGTTGTCCATGATGTTGATTCCGTTCCGATAACACCACGGTCTCGCGTACTCCTCCATACCAGCGTGTAGCTCACTCCTGTCATCGTGCCTCGCAGTAGGACGTGGAAATCGCCACTTCCGGTTCTACTTATTCGGAGTAAAACGCATGATCATGTTCGGCTTCTTTGAAATGGAACAAGAAAGTTCCTCTATCATAAGTGAAAGGGATAAAAAAGTGTCTGTCTTAAATGGCAGGTCAGTGAGTGCGATTACAAACCTTCCATGACAGGAGACCAGCCTCATAGAGACAATTATGCACTCCCGGCATCAAAACGTTATCTTTAGCAAATTTTGAGTAGCATATACCCTTTAGTGGTGCTTGTTTCTCATTGTAAAACATCTGCAGTGTACACAAGGATTTATGGATTTCGGTCTTCCTTGGGGAATGATTGTTGTGGCGGTGCAATCCCATGCACGGAACCGTTTAAACTTAACCTTCTCAAACAATTCGACACTAAGTATGTACGATCTTCGAACAGTAAGAAATCGTTAATTTCTGTAGTCAAACACACCGTGCACGGGTCATAGTGAAAATTCAAACAGTAACGGCACTCTTCACCTGTTGATTTTGTTTACCGCTGCACTCAGCAATGATCCAACTTAATGACGCCTGATTTCAAAACAATATGTTGCATCAGACAAGCCAGTTGTTGATATTATAAGCAATGGCCGATGATGACGCGCCGTCAAAGTCACCGGGCCTGACCAGCCGATCTATTTAGTCGCCTCTTGTGTCAAGGTCAGTTTGCTGGAAGCCCCACCCGGAAGCGCTTCTGCCGAGGGCCAATTCTATCCCGGAAGCCCCACCCGGAAGTCTGTGGAACTAACTGTGGAGACAACAATGCCCAGGCAGGGGCGTCATTATGTCCTCAATACGTCCGGCGTTAAGGAATAATAATGTCGCTTTGAATAACAAACTATCTGGAACAATCGAAAACAACTGTTGGAAATGCTATAAAACTGAAAAACTTGGAAGAAAGTCGGTGCTACAAGCGTCACATACATATGTATATATGTATATGTGCATTATTTCACTATGCGCCAACGCCAATGTCAACGAGCAGTGTGAGAATATCTACCATAACACAATGCTTATAAGACATGCATATTTTCAGACTTTCCCCACACGTAGTTATTAACTGGGACACTGTTCAATGCGGTGTTAAACTCACTCGTTCCACTTACATTGTAAATAAATGGAAGCAAATTTCAGCAAAACTAAACAATGCTCTCGAATCATATATACTCCCTGATGTTTGGCATATCGGAGCAAACTCTCAACAAACTCACCAGTGTACAAAATGCAGCAGCGAGACTCATCACTGGTGCAGGCAAATATGAACACATAACACCAACATTACGTACACTGCATTGGCTGCCAATCAGACAAAGAATTGTCTTCAAGGTGTTGGTGTTTGTGCACAAGGCCCTTCACAACCAAGCTCCAGAATACCTGACTGAACTAGTGTCATGGTATCAGCCATCATAACCCTGAGATCAGCCTCTTTAAAACAAGCAGTTGCCCTCTATTATGCATAGAGACAGGTCCTCTGTTATGGAACCAACTACCTGAAAACTTGAAAACTTGTCAGACATATTCCATTCAAAAGAACTAAAAACAGTTCTTTTCCACAGACCCAAGCGCCTTAGAGCAAACCTTGATTCAGGCGCTATATAAATTTTAACATTATTATTATTATACTGTTCATGCAAAGACCCGTTGGCCTCAAGTGTGGTGACGGGCAAAAGAAAGTGATGTTTTTTGTTTTTTTTGTGGTGGCTAAAAGTGAAACAAGTCATTGTTATCGGATTGTAATATCTTCAATACGGATGTCTCAGTTGTTTTGGTTGCAATGTTTCAGCGAGTGTTTTCATCATGTTAACATTTTGGTAATGTTCGTACGTTTTGCATCAAATCCAATTTTGAAGCGTTTAAGCTATTCCCGGCAGCTATGACGATGACAATGTAATTATTGTGAACTGTCCATTTGAAACTCGAACACAGACCTCTCATAAGTAAACTATCAATGTTTGTACACCACATACCGATAAACAGAAATCCTTTGAGACAGGTATCCATACAATGTCATGTCAAATGCACGGTTTTTATCGCATGAGTGATGGGGCCCTTGTTGCCATGGCAGCAAACCTACACCATTCCCAGGTGATAACTCACAGTCGTACGTGCTTATGTAAAATTATATATTTATATGCGGTCGATGTATCATTCTAATGGTTTATTTTAGTCTATATACGCTATTCATGTAAAATGAATGTACTCAGGCAAAAGGTTAGTGTGTGAGTTTTCCCAGCATGTTTCACCCACGCTAAAAAATCAAAATCAAACTACAACATGTATATTGTCTCAAAACCGACATCATATTATGGACGATTAGGTGTGGAAAGGTTTAATATCAAACGTCTGAACGTATATAAAATAGTGAGAGCTGTACGATATGTACGCATTTAATATGCAGAGTGGAGTCCATTTGATGTGCCAGACTTCGATGATCGTAGGTTCGGATACCGTTACGTCCCATGTTATTTGTTAGTTTCATGACCGTACTCGAAGGCTGGCGGGGTAGCTTAGTGGGGTAGCCTAGTGGTTAAAGTGTTCACCTGCGTTCGATTAACGACAGTGGTACAATGTGTGAAACCCATTTCTAGTGTCCCCGTCGTCATACTGCGCTGAGCTATTGCTGAAAGCGGCGTAAAACCGAAGTCACTCACTCAGTTTGGTTGAGCGTGTTGGGTTCTCACTTTACATGCCACCCCGCCTTTATTTCACGAAACTACTGCTCATTTAAGCTTAAACCAAACTAATTAATTATTCAGTTTGTGAATTCATTGAAGTGTACATGCTCCCACTACAAATAGTAGCATCAAGTCATTAATTTAAAACGCTTAGAGAAAGCGTAACTCTGATAAAGCAACGTGCATATTATTAGAGCTCTGGCCGCTTGCTGTGTACCTATACAGTCATATCGCAATACCTCTCACATATATATAAGGTGGCAACAAGAATGACGTGAAAGAAAGGTATCGTTGCTGATAGGAGGCACCATCGTTTCCACGAGCTTCAGGTTACTTGTTTGATTTCAGCAGAGACCATATAATCTATTATATGGTCTCTGATTTCAGTATCGATCGTGTATCGTGAGATCTTTCGCTGTAAACTCACAGCGGGAGAACAGTTTTCTGCAGCAATGAATAGAAATACAATGAGTTGATTTCCTCCGAGGCTGGAGTTAAGAGAAGAATGGGTTAAAATCAAAAGATTTGATAGCAAACAGACTCGGTCGCTTTTCATTGTGAATATTAGAGTTGCCTCCCCTTAACGACTCTTTTGGCTTCATGAACTAAGAAAATATAGTTCCTGTTATTACCGGAAGTAACAAATAAGACGTCTGTAAATCATTTGCAACAAAGTGTGTTTCACAATATTTGAAATGAGACCAGCTTGATCAGTTGATCTCTTTGAAAAATAACACACACAACTAATAACTAGCATCATGTAATGTCAGGGTATACCACTTATCAACAGGGGAGATACACCTGACACGATTTGTTGCTGAAAGACTCACGAAAACATGGACTCCTTCGAATGAAGTGGCCAACTAAGTAATTGTAATTGGGTCACAGGTCAGATCTTATTGACATCATGGACGAACTACAGAAACTTGAATATCTGTCTTTGGTATCCAAAGTATGTACTGAGCTGGAAAACCATCTTGGGATAAATGATAAGGATTTGGGTAAGTGTCCTTACTGTTTTCGAATAAGGCTTTTATAAGGAGTGCATACTTGTCAATTTGTGTGTTAAGGATATCATTATTGGAAAGATTTGCGCCCGTAACCCCCATATTTTTTGTAATCATTTTATGCCTAAGAATATACGCCTATGTTTTTATGTTATGGTTTTTTTTATAAACACCCTATACCTAACCCTAAATCTAACCCTAATATCTAACCCCAAACCTAACCCTAAACCCTCGAAATAATCCTAATAAATAGAATACATTTCAAGCAGGGGTTACGGGTGGAACTCTTACCCTGATGGCAGCTTTACGTTGTGATTCATCGCAGACACACTGCAAGTTATTCAGTACCATCAACATGATCAATAGTGTACTGCATGTTTATTATTATGAGATCACTGTCAGCTTTAACATTTAAAGATCCCAGTAACATTTGACATGGTAAATATGACATGAAAATTTTCAGATTAAGAAATTAATCAGCTGTTGTGTTTTGGATGACACTCATCCGTCGCTATAACATGGGTTTCGGGGACCATGAACGACAACCCTGTGTTACCACTCACCCACAGTATTGCTGCCTTGGAATGAATTAGCATGATTAGAAAACTTTCTTGGCAATTTCTACAGAACATGCAATGCTATGAACACTGAATTTCATACACATTGATAATTTCTTTTGAGATGTTACATGTTTAAGGCTTCAGGATATTTTCTCATTATTTCCCTTAGTGTGTTGGCCATAACTAACTTACAATGACTTTGTTTATTTCTTTTACAGCTGAATATGTGATTGATCTAGCGGAGAAAAATGACACATTTGAAAAATTCAAGAAAGCCTTGGATGAACGAGATGCACAGTTCTCAGTGAGTTGAAAGTTATTCATAGTCAGTACTTCATAGGCTCGTATACACTGCTGTCCTCCCTTACCCATGGATACACTAGTGCACATGTTTGCCTGAAGAATTACATCCACTTGCCAAAGCTGAATCTGCCCTACAATGTTTTGCAAAGCCTCCCACCTCTGCCAGATACTGAAGCAATTTTTAGAGTTGGTTCAATGTATATGCAGTGTACAGTGGGTACTTTGATGAAACAATTGTGATAATTTGTCTTTCTTCTTAAATATTGCTGTTTTTCACAATACCACAGTCTTCATCTTTAAAATTTCCTGTGATCAGGTGGATGCAAGATGTTTCCATTATCAGATCATTGTGGTGGTGTAGTAGGTAGAGTGGAAGGTGGCGGGTTCAATCCCCATCTGTGTCATATCCAGAGATATCAAAACGTAGTACATACTGTACTTTGTGTTCAGATTAAGTGGACTGTTTGGGGAAGTCAGTAAATGTCATTCAGATATTCTGAATGTGGTCACCATGGTTACCAGGCTAGATGCCATGCAGTATGTGCCGAAAACTTTTGAGTCTACTTATTGCGACATGCCTTTTATGGTCATTTTCTGTTGATTTTTGTGATATTTTTATGGACTGTTTTAGCTGAACTGTTGATTGTTTTCAGGACTCTCTCATTGCTAATCTTCTACGTCTCATCAAGAAGATGAAGCCGAAGGTGAAGGAGATAGTGGATGAGAAGGAGGACATCTCCGATGAGACAGACATGAGGAAAGCTCTATATCCTGGCCTGGCTATGCCCAATAATCCAGATGTCAGGGTAGGTTGTCTACATGTTCGAAATTAAAGCTATGCACATAATGTATTTGTATTTTTTTTATTAACATATTCACTGACATAAAAAATACAAAATGAGAATACAATTAAAATGATATTTTGCCTTATCCTGACTCATGCTAAATGCTTGTCTCCTTCTCCTTGCGAATGATAGTAGAACACTTGAAGTTCCCTTCTAAAAAGTGGACGTAAAATCACTACTCACCCACGAGTTACCTCCCTTGCCCCTTTGGCACCCTTTTGGTCACCTGACCGGCCATGTTTTGTCACTCTCTCCTTCTTCGCCCTTGTGGACGGTTGTGAGAGCACCTGGGTCCCTATACGGCACATATCCTTTTCTATTTTGGACCTTACATCAAAATTATTGCTGTATACAGCTTTTAGGATTGTATTCTACTATATGGTTTGAAATTTGATCTAAATTATACGTTGTTTGACATGTTTTTTCATTGTGTTTACATTTGATGAAAACTTGTGTTCGTTGCAGGTACCGGCTGTCTGCGGCTGACCCGCATTTATTATGTCCTGATTGCACTACTTCATGTTCTTTCAGCTCTCGCTGTTAAACATTGTCTGGATTTAACCACTTTTGAATTTAATAACTACCTTTTTTCCATTCATAGACGTGCAAAGGAGTGGGTAAGAAGGTATTCACAAGTCATGTCTAAATCGAGTGATTGCGCTGATAACCGTGTGTTAACTACTGCTGCCAATGTTCATAATTCCAGCAAATTGCTGAGCGTTTTACAGAGGCAGGTCGCTGTGCCAGTGATGAACCCTGGAGCTAATAAGAGATCATCGTCAACGGAGCTGACCTCTTCGCAGACGAGGAAGACTAGATCTTCAACGCAGAAGAAGAAGGCTACTACCGCTAACACTTCGTCGAAGTCTCTACACAGCTCTCCGCAGAAGACGAGATCTTTTCTGCGCGCACATTGAGATTGACCTCGCAGCGGAAGAAAAGTTAGGAGCCTGGACACCAACGTCAGCTCAGCCTTAGATGATGTCGATGATGGAACGTCCCTGAAGGAGCTCAGCTAAATCTTCCCCATCTGAATTCTCACGCAGAAGCAGGTCGAAAGCATTCTCCTGAACCCTTCAGACGTCATAGATACGGGTCGTCATCACAATCGGACTCAGACGCACTTCGGGAACCTGCATGCAGGCACTCCACATCTTCCAGAGGGGAGACTACGTCTAAGAATCAACCTTCACGAAGGCCTAGAGAAACATCTCAAGACTCCAGGAAGGATACACGATCACATCGGGATCGTTCACCTGCGTGCAGTTCGTCATACAGATTTTCACACAGAGACTCACGGCCCCGTGGATCATCAGAGCGGGAGATATCTAAATCAGAGGAAGAAGGTGAAGTCATATTCTCCGATACGGAAGTAACCTCATGGATTGCTAATGGCCTGGACCTAGCATCACCTTCCAAGGACACAGACGAAGCGTTTACATACAAGATGTCCAACAATGATTTCGAAACACTCACCTTTCCGCCTATCGACCCGATCGCCCATGTACCGGACAGTCTCAGCTCAGACTTTGATAAGGCTACCAAGTTCCAGAACCAGCATATCCCGACGTTCAACGCCAGGAAATTCCCCTTACATCACATGGAACCCTTCCTGAAGGCACCAGGGATTGATGAGGACTACAAGATCATCAACAACTCCCGCTATAGGAATTACAAGATCGACGACAAGACACAAGTGAATACGACTACTAGACGTACCTTCTTCGGACTAGCCAGATCTAGGGTTATTAATGAAGCACTCATCTCGAAGTTCAAGAACTCCACCGACGAAGATGACCGGATGATATATTCTGCGCTACTGACTCAGAAAAAGGACCACCACTTTATGTCGGAGCATTTAGCATCCACATCAGCGGGCATGACTCTCCTGAGGGGACAAGGATTATTGTCATCATGCACCTGGAGTGAGCGGTTCACCAAATCCTTATACTGAGCCCGATGGTCAGCATCATCCAACTTTGGAGGAGGGATTGAAGAAGTCATCAAAAAGGTTACACACGAATCAAGGGTGGTCATGATGATTAAGTCCATAGATACCTTGGCAAATGTGATTCGCCAGACGTCCCAGCGCTACTCCAACAAATCCAAGTTTGCAGAGAAAAGAAGTATTCTAGCTCAAGAGGTGAGCACCCAGGGGTGCCAGGGAAACCAAGCACTGAAGGACAGGTTTGGAATGACTGGAGTCTTCCACCCCCAGCCGTTCCTGTACAACCTTCGACAGTTGGTGGACATTTTCAACGGTACTGGAAGAATTGGGGAATACTACAGGACGACTACGTATCCCAGATACTACGCAGAGGGTACAAGATACAGTTGGAAGCCACCCCGCCGCTTACAAGCAACCCGATGGCCTTCAGATACGCAGCCGACCAGACAGAGAAAATTGACGACACAATCAAGACTCCACTCGACAAAGATACAGTAGAAGAGATAAATCAAGATCTTACCACGCCCGGTTTTTACTCCCCAATTTTCCTGGTACCGAAGAAGGATTCCAAGGAGAAGTTTCGGCTAATCTACAACATGAGGAAGTTCAACCAGGAGTACCTTCGCAGACCAGCAAAATTCAAGATGATACATCTTCCTCAGTTCCGACATCTCGTTCGTCCAGCAGACTACCTCGCCAGCATAGATCTACAAGATGCGTACCTACACATCCCGATACATCCAGACTCAAGGAAATACAGTCAAATCCCGATGAGTCGAATGCCGGTGTCTCGAATGTTACGCATAACTCGAAGTACCTGTCGGTCCCGACCATTCCCTGTTATAATTGTCATCATTTGAATACCGGTTACACGAGTTCGACTCATAAATACACACGATGACTCGAGAAGAAAATTTGGTCCCATGAGATTCAAACAACAGCAATCTTGTATACATAAGCCAAAGTCAGTCAATGAGAAGTTGATTGGTGTAGCAAACTGATCCAATTAACAAACCAGCGCAGCTCACACCTTTCCGCCTTTGGCGGGGGTTCAAAAGGCAGATTAGTGATTTTACGGAAATCACTGTCTGTGCTAATCAGACTGGAACTGATAAGGTGCCCCTATTAGTGATAGGGAAATCATTAGGTAAACAAATGCTTAGGCGGAGGAATAAGGACTGGATCATCTTTTTTTCTACCTCGTAGACATACCTATGTCTCGAATACATCGATAAGTCGAATCTATTACTTGGTCCCCAGAGATTCGACTCATCGGGATTTGACTGTACCTAAGATTCCTTTTCAACGGACATCACTTCCAGTGGAAGGTTCTACCATTTGGAATATCGTCGGCCCCCTGGTTGTTTACTGGAGTGACCAAGCCCATCGTCACATATCTACATCGTCAAGGTCTACGCAGTGCTTTTAACCTGGACGATGGAATTCAAGTTCATCAAGATCCCAGTCAACTCAGACTGCAACTAGACTTCACCATCAGGCTTCTCACTCAGTTAGGATGGCTGGTAAATCTCCTCAAGTCAGAACTGGAGCCGAAACAGGATCTTCAATTTCTAGGAATACGTCTCATCACGCCAGTGAATCGCATAGTCGTCCCAGAGGATCGTTGGGTCAAGATACAACATATGATATCTCAAGCAATGCTCTCTCCGTTGACACTATGTGCTTGGCAAAGCATGCTTGGTCTACTCACCTCAGCTCAAGACATGACTCGCAGAGGGAGACTACAACTGTGCCCACTACAAATATTTGTGAACGCCCATCTCGACAGTCTGGATCCGCTGATTCTACCGGACCGCCTGAAACTATACCTCCTATGGTGGACTCGGAAGTCGAATGTTTGCAGAGGAACCTTTTTGTCAGAGCCGGTTTGCAACACTCATCTCTACGTAGATGCATCTTTAAAAGGATGGGGTGCCCACCTCGACAACGAAGTGGCAGCAGGGAAGTGGTTGAGTCAGGATCAGAGTCTGCACATCAACCTGTTGGAGATGAAAGCAGTGATCAACGCTTTACAACACTGGTCCAGCGTACTAAAGAACGCAAGGCTCATGGTCCACACGGACAACTCCACAGTAGCGTTCTACATCAACAAACAAGGATCAACAAGATCAACAAGTCTGCTACAACTCAGCTTTCTCCTGTTCAGCATCGTCGACGACCTGAACATCTACATGAAGGCATGCCGCATTCCAGGAGCAAAGAATGTCATAGCAGACGCCCTATCTCGTCCACTTCAACCATCCCCGACGGATGGATGTTACACCCAGAAGTGTTCCGGTTCGTCATACAGACAACAGGATCTCCACTGATAGACCTATTTGCAACAAAGTTCAACAAGCAACTACCAACATTCGTCTCTCCGATTCCGGATCCTCAGGCATAGGCAACAGATGCTTTAAGCATCTCATGGGAAGGACTAAACGCTTATGCGTTTCCACCTCCAGCACTACTACCACAAGTAATACAGAAAATCAAGCAGATGACAATGCTGCAACTGATTTTGGTCGCACCCTATTGGCCAGCGGGGCTATGGTTTCCCGTCCTCATACAAGAACTCGGAAGTCCAACCCTGAAACTACCAGAGTGGTTGAACCTGCTCGTCCATCCAGACACCAAGCAAGCTCACGGGAATCCGGCATTGTTCCAGCTACACGCGTGGAGCGTATCAAAGCTTGCCTGAAGACTAGAGGGTACTCCGCCAGAGCAGCGAAAGCAGTAACACTAGCTCTATGCAGATCAACTCGCAACTTGTACGACGACAAGTGGCAGAGATTTGAACAGTATGCAACGAGGAAAGGCTTTACAGGGGTAAAAGCAACCCATCCTCAAGTGGCAGAATACCTGTGTCATCTGCGACAGACGAGACACTTAAAAGGTTCAACACTCTCTACATACCTGGCTGCTCTCAGTACAGTTATCACCATGAAGATGGGTGTCAAGCTGACCAAAGTACCAGAGATACTGGCATTACTACGCTCGTTCAAGTTGGAAGACCAACAAAAGAAATTCAAGGCTCCTGCCTGGGATCTTAACATAGTACTACAACATCTCACCAGTGATGCCTACGAGCCTCTAGAACAGGCATCCTTTGAACTACTGACTCAGAAAACGCTGTTCCTGATTGCCCTAGCAACAGCAGCACGGATGTCAGAAATACATGCTCTGGACTTTGAACGAACACGATTTGAATCAAGACATCGTGACATCGTACATCTAGGACTGAGATGGGGTTTTATTGCCAAGAACCAACTGCCCGGCCAGCCTGACAGACAGTTCCACATCCCCGCACTCTCTACAGTCTTTTGGCCACAGGATACACAGTATCTATCCTTATGCGCTGTCAGAGCACTAAAAGTCTACCTACAAAGGACAAAAGCAAGGAGACGAAAATTCAAGCGCCTATTTATCCCCTTATCTACTGAGACGCCCACGGAAGTCTCACGGACAACGATATCGATATGGATGAGAGCCGTTATACTAAGGGCCTACAAAGCAGCAGGACTTGAGCCTCCACGAGCCTCCAATCCCCACGAAGACAGAGCAAGCATCAAGAGATGGAGATGAAAGAACAGAATCATCAGCAGTGCCGTCATAAGTTCCCATGGGGGGTAATACAGGACGTAAATCAACAGCCAGAGAATCCAGATGTGGCCTGACCCACCACCGATTCCTACGGATTCTGCAAGCATTTAGCATGAGTCAGGATAAGGAAAAATATGTAATTTTATGACTAAAATTGATATTTTATACTTATCCTGACTCATGAGGTCAGCCCTCCCAACCTCCCCTCTTATGGCACTCTGGACTTCCCTGTAAATCCAGGTGTCGGGCATACATACGGAGAGAGAGAGACAAACCATGGCCGTCAGGTGACCAAAAAGGCACCAAAGGGGCGAGGGAGGTAATTCGTGGATGAGTAGTGATAAGGAACTTCAAGGGATTTCAAGTGTTCCACTATCATGCGCAAGGAGAAGGAGGCAAGCATTTAGCATTAGTCAGGATAAGTATAAAATATCAATTTTAGCCAGAAAATTAAATTTTTGAAAAATAATTTTCTGAATATTAATACTTTTTTCAACCCAGAAACAAATATCTGTCAAGCAGTTAATATGATATATGTTTTGGGAGGTTCTTAGTTCCTCTGAGTATGCTCGAGCTTGATATTTGTGTTTAGAAACTCAATAAATGTTGTCAGTTTTTGCCATTCAGGTTCTGCTGAGGAACTGTTTATGTTTATGCTCTATCTACGTGTGTTTATGAATGTTGACATACTTTGATTAGCACCAGATAAGTTTAGTTCCAGTTGTTGGAATTTTCTTAGCCAGCATATTAAGATGAAGGGCATCCCCACAGCTAAATATAAACAAGATTGGCAATATATTGTCATTTTGATTTGAGGTTAACATTCCAAATCAATGGTTTTTGAAACTCACTCGCTCACTCACTGGAAGCATGCAGGGTGTGTTTAAATATTCAAAGAGGGCACAGGTGGTGCTGTGGTCTAAGGTGAAATTATTTTACTGTTTTCTACAAAAACACATAACAGCAGCTGCTTTGTTAGCATCCTCAGTATTCAGCCAATGCATGGTATCAAACTTCAGCAATCTTCTCATTCGCCATTGCGTCAGAGTTGAAACAACGTCACGTGACCTTGAGTTCAGCTAAACTTTCACCTTGTACTCTTTCAGAAAATGCTGGATGGCGAGGAGAGCATGAAGAAGATAGAAGTGAAGACTGAGGTGGATACGGAGGGAAGTGCCAAGGGCTGGGGCAGAGGGGGAGATCAGAAGGTGGCGTCACAGATGATGGACGAGCTGGAGGCGCTACTCGGGGGCAAGCTGCCGGTCAAGGAGGAGACAAGGTACAGGACTCGGCTATGACACTACTTAATACATTTTAGTCAGATTGCCATCTTCTGTGTGTGGATCTGAGAAGTGTTGTAGTTCACATGTTGCATCTGTGTTAGAGACAGTGGGATCTTAGCGGTATAAAACTACACATGATTCATCTTAGAGGGATGGAGAGGCTGAAACACTTGTCACTACTCATCAGTAATGTAGCCACCTTCTGGTGGGAAATACTGGATAGCTTCTTACTGGTGTAATGTTAAAATTAATCTTTATTCATTTTCTAAATCACAAAAACATCAAAATCTTAATTTCTAATCTCGCTGGTAGAGTGGAAGTGATACCTGCATTCACAGTTGTGTTGTGTTTATCACAGGACAGAGAAGTCAGAAAAGAAAAGGAGAAAGAGCCGAAGTCGGAGCCGCAGTAGAGAGAAAAAGAAGTAAGTACGAATAAACAATACATTTGTGTCCTTCATGTGAGTAGGTCAGTGGAACAGTTAGAATTGGGTCACCTTGACCTAGTTGAAGAACTGTGATATTGCTTACAATAGGTCATTGTGACCTGTGATGTGGCTGACCATGCATCCTTGATATATAGTCTGTTGTTATTATGTTTGTAGTGAAGAGAGGAAGTGGAAGAGAAAATATGTTGAACTTGACCCAAATTTGTTTTCTTCAACAGAAAAAAACGTGACCCGAGATCGATCTCGAGAGAGACGAAGATCCAGGAGTAGGTCACGTGATCGCCATCGTTCTCGTAGTCGAAGCCGAGAGAGACGTCGCCGCTCCAGGAGTCGAGACAGAGATAGAGATAGACACAGAGACAGAGATCGAGATACAAAGAAGCGAGACCGGGATCGAGATAAAACTAGAGATAAAGACAAATACAATGACATCCCAATGGAGCCAGTAGTAGGACAGGTAGGCCATGATTTCACGGAGGACTTAACTATTGATATCCATCAGCATATAAAATTGCCATTCAGAAATCATTGAGAGTTGGTTGTCTTGCTGAGGTTTAATTTAGAGGCAGTATATTGTCCCTGCTTCTTGCATGCAACTTGTTTCTCTGAAAGGGAAAGCAGAGCCTTGTTTTTTTAATGCTCTGTATCATTTCATCTGGAGTTTTGACCTGAATCAGTGAATGTTTTGAGCATTAAAGTCTGGCATATGGCATGCATGTTTGTAGGTTTTATATATGGTATAGTCTAAGAAGAGTTATCTCCCTTCAGGTGTACCATGGCAAGGTGACGACCATCATGCAGTTTGGATGTTTTGTTCAGTTGGAAGGTCTGAGAAAGAGATGGGAAGGACTTGTACACATATCACAGGTAACATAGTTTACTAGGGCTGGATATTGCCCTGATTCTCATATTGCGATATATTGCAATAATTTAAGAGATATTGCAATATATATTGTGATATATTGAATGGAGGGTTTCTGCCCAAGTCCGTACATCATAAATTCATAATAGCTCTGTGTGTGTGCGACATTATCTTCTTAGTTGCTGTTACACAATACTTTCAGGCTCCCAGTCCTCATTGTGCATGGCTGTATGTCAATGGTTTACAGATAAATAAAATGATATAGAACCTTAGTGTGGAATGTTTAATTGAGGTATTTCAACCACGGTTTGAGAACATAATGATAAAGTATCAGTCTAAGTAAACTTAGGCACAGTATTATTTGTTACACTGCTATACTGAGTTTAACAAAACCTAGTAGAAGGTCGCATCAGCTAACCTTTGAGCGACCTATGACCGTCCAATCAAACTTGAGACAGCCAAACGGATTTAACCAATCAGACAACGGCTACTATTTAGGGTTTGGCTGGACTTACAAAATGGATTTTGTCTTCCCCGGTCGCCAACACTGATCTCATAACAAATGAAAACCCGCATAAAACACAGATATATGACCTGCAGAATATACACTTTTGGGTTTCTGTTGACATGGCTATCATTAGCTAATATTTCCGCAAGCTGACATCCTTGAATACTGACAAAACACTATTCTCAGCGACTGTTTACTCACTATTGTGGTGTACTCCATGTGCATCACTTTCGGAAGCGATAATTTACTGAAAATAGCATTCTGAATCGTTCGGTTACAAAACTTTTTGAGGTAAAAGTTCCAAAGGTATAAAGCGAATGTCAACTTTTCGTGATTTGGTAAGCTGTGTTCTGATTGGTTCATTGAAAAGGTCAGCTGATGCAATTCCTTCCACAAGGTTTTGTTAGACTCAGTATAGCAGTGTAACGAATAATACTTAGCCTAAGTTTACTTAGACTGAAAAGAGTATAGTAATAGTATTACTTAAGTTTCATGGTCAGTGATTATAAGGGGGTTCACCCATTTTGTTCTTTGGGGGTGGGGATTCCAGCAGTTTTGTACACACACACGTTTAGGGAGGGTTCAGCAAGTTTGTACATAACACTATGTTTAAAATTAGCTAAGAAATTATGGGAAGGGGAGGGTCATTGATTTTGTACATGACATGCAGGGGATAGGGGAGGGTGTTCTCTTATTTTGTACATAAATTTTAGGGGGGTCATTCACATTGTACATGCTTCTCCATAAAATCATCATCACCCCCAAACCATAAAATTATTGAGGCGATCCCTTAACACAGTGGGGTCTCATACAATGCAAACCGGGTATAGTGTGCTATAATGTTCGCGATTGCTTTGGTTGATGGAAACATTGTCACAGGCTCATTTTTTCTGTTTTGGTACTGTGAGTATAGTTCAAGTACTAAAATGAGCCGAAACACTTCTTCTGACTCTTGTAGACTATAATTCACTGCTAATTTGAATAATGACCCTCTAAATTTTTACAAATATCAAAAGCGCATCGCCTTTTTCGCTCCTTCGCAGAAAACATTGGAAATAAAGCCACAATGTGCCTTAATTTCGCAGTTTCTTGGTATAATTTGACAACATATGAAATATGTGATAAATAAGCTTTCAAATGGTGTGAAATATTCCTAACATAGAGTATTCGTTTCTTTACACGAGAGTTAAACGTTACCCACCTATGCATCATCACTGTACAAGTTGATAGCCGCTAATACAGCTGGTTTATAGCCCTTTCAAAACAAATCACTGTACGATTTCTAGTTAGTTCATGTTATCTTTTCTAAATAATTGAAGTTCCTAATTATATATTTTGCATCATTTTCTCTTACTTCTAAATTCAACACAGGTCGACAAAATGAACACTTCAGTTTGCTATTATTCTGATTTTCGGACATATTCTTTCAACATTATCAGTGACCACTGTATTATCAATCACCCATCAAGTGAATTACAATACAAATTCTAATATCTTATCTCAAATTTATTTCCATTCAAACCCAAAATTTCAAACTGAAGTATTCAGACCCCTTAAGAAAAAGTCTAAATGTGATATGAAGGAGGGTGTGTTTGGCCAGAAGCAAGCCTTGTCAATGAATGAGTTAACGGAGGAACTAGATAGGAATACAAAAACATTTTCTTGCATGAAGCTAGCACTTGGACCTCGTTGACAATTGTTATTCCTGCATGTGGGAGTTTTGATGGAGGTTCCGTGAAAGAAATGATAGAATTGCTTCCACTAGGCTAAAATAACTTAAAGGACGTCAGGCATGATTATCTGTTTCTTAACTTTACACGATTGGTTGCTTCAAATTGATTTCCCTTGGACAATATTGCGTTCATGCTGTTTTCTGAAGTGGTATCGTGGTATTCACTCCACAACACGGTACTGATGAGATACAGTGAGGTTACAAAGTGTTTTGGGAGAATTGGGCTGAAAAACACGGCACAGTGTCAGAGGGAAAAGTCCCTAGTGGTGTGTATGTTCCTAATGATTCCAAAATAAACTTCGCAGTTCCTGATAGGACATTTCTGGACAGAATGAAAGGATCTTTTGAAGACAACCAACTTGTACCTTCTTGGAAATGCAGGACAGGATTGCTAAAACTGACCCAAAACAGGTTAACACTTACAAAATGTGTGTTAATGGAAAGAAAACCAATGTTTGTAGGGGTGGAAAGTTAGGGGCGTTGATTTATGTGGGGTTTAGGAGCATCCGACTCTCATCGGAAAATGTTAAGTATCACATGAAGCTCGTATTTTGGAAATTTGTGAAGAACTTTTTAACAGTTTGGAATTTCGTGAATTAGAACAGGTTACCGAATGTTCAGACGAACAAAAAAGAGTAGTTCAAGTCGTTGGGTCATGATGTCAATATGATTTGCAGTTGTCACGTTAGACAGTTGAGACAACTCAGAGTTGGAGAAACTCCTGCACATGACAAATTTCTGAAAGTTGTAACTTGTGATTGGAGACATTCCGAATATGCTTTCGTAATATGTCTCAAAACATGATATACCAGTACAATATATACATACGTTGAATGTGTCCAAATTTATCAATAACGCGCACCTTTGAATAAGCTCTCAGTCTGGACGTTATTCAATTACGCGCGGTATTCCATACAGAGAAACAAAGATTCTTTTCCAAAAGAGAGCCTCCTTGGGGTACATATAAGCATTTAAATGTCCATTATAAATCCTACGACAGTTTTAACAATATTTTAATAAAACAATTTACAAAACGAAAAACTCGTTTTGTCTTGTGAGACCACCCCTACAGGACCCTGTAGCGCCCACCTACAACCAAGAGCAGATAACTCTGGCTGCTTACCTCGTACCTCACTTTTCATACTGTCGTTCTCTAGAACAGACGTGAGTGGTGTCCTTAGAGTCTTATCTCTTCCTATAATCGACGATGAGTGCTAAAGATTCTCAAACCGTATGTATGGTTCCTCTCTTTACGCACGGGCGTTAGATGGACTTCACATATGGATATTTTCATTCATCATTTGTTGTAACTTTGTGCCATGGGTCTCTGTTTTTCAGCCATGTGGCAGGCAAAATGTCGGACCACACGGTCGTGGTTTCCTCTCTACATGATAGCTTTTTAGCCTGTAGTTGGAAGTTCATATATTATGGTTGCATATTATATGATAGGCTTGCCTTAATTCTTGTTTTTTACAGCGAATTTCGTTTCGTATCACTCTCAATTTTACTCCATTGTATGTATACGCAGTTTGTGGCTAGCCTATTTCTGCTTTACTTTATGTTTAGTATTTAAATGGCTGTAGCTGGTAGCATTTAAATATCGCCTGTGCGTTTTATTTATTGCTATTAACTTGTGTTTATATGTTTGCTGCTTCACAGTCCCTGCTAGTAACACTGGCACGGTTCTGTTTGCTGCAGTTTAAGGCCTGTGTGTCATGCAGTGCCACACTACCGCAACAGGATGCCTTTGGTGTTTTGGTGAGGAGGCTCACGCCCACCGAGAATGTTATAATTAGAGCCCTTGCGTTAATTTTTCCTGCTATGTTGTGTGATGTTCCACATACGTATACACACAACGTGCCTCATGGTGACCAAGGTTGTGTTTCTTGCCTGGGTTTTTGCGCCTCACACGCGTTCTTTCAGGCACGCAGATTTTATGTTTTTTCACTAATCTGCATCAGGCGGGGGTGATATTGGATTAAGGGTTTCTAAGGAAATCCCTTTATCCCACCCCCACCTACACCTCCCCCGCAAACAATGTTGCTACACTACTAATGAATGATTTCTTCTTATAGCAGCAGCGGAGATCGTCGATGCACACTCTCAGACACGGTGTCCAGACTCGGAGAGGGGATTGGTACCCAGACTATGGGTAGGGATTGCACTGGCGCGCCAATTTGGGGAGGGAAGGGTCAGACCTCCGGGGAACGTTCGGTCTTGAGATTCGGCTTCGGGGACGCTCTGAACCTAGGAACTAGCACCGACTTGGGCTTCGGGTCTGGTACGGAGCAGATCCCTGGCACCGGTAGTTCACATTTCGGCCTGATGTCTGTCGACGCCCTGACCAAGAGGCTGTCGATTGTGACGGAGCTACCGATCACCTCGACACTTAAGGTCTACCCGTGTACACCAGCGGAACCCTGCATTGTCAGGCTACTCCCATGTGTCTCTCGCCACCGGGGTTCAAACTCGAATGACCGACCCGAGTACATATATGATTATGTACCGATGACCTCGACGTTCCAGGGTCTGCCACGTGTTCACCAGGGAAACCCTGTATTGACAGGCTATTCCCATGTGTCTCTGGACCAGGATTCGAACTCAAACCACCGACCTGAGTACATATATGTATATATATTTGTGTTTATATAGCGCTATAGGCAGTGTATGACTGTATGCTCAGTGCGCTTGTGGTAAAAGTACCAGGGAAACCCTGATCCATCAGGCTACTTCTACGTATCTTGGGTTCGGGGGTTCGGACTCGAACCACCAAGCTTCTGCTCCATGGATGCTCTGAATCCCGGAAGTAGCACTGACCTGGGCTTCAGCACCGGTAGGGTGCCGATTCACGGCACCGGTAGTTCAGGCCTCGGCCTGATGTCTATCGACGCCTTGACCAAGAGGCTATCGAATGTGCCGGATATGCCGGTCACCTCGAAGCTTTGAGGTCTGTCTGAGTGCTGGGGTACCCTGATTTATCAGGCTACTCCCATGTGCCTCGGAACCGGGGTTCAGGCTCGAACAGTGGTCAAGCCGATTTGAGCATCGGCTCTTTTCGCTACTTTGAACTTTACAATGATTAGGTTCGTCCTTGAGGCAAGTGCGAGATAGAATCGCGGCTGTGTTGTCCACGACGAGGGCCAGGACCGTTGGAATTCGCCTCCCGGGGGTAAGCCTACTTCCAGCAAGGCATCCGAGTCATGGCCTCACATTCTCCTTTCCCCTTAACAGCTCTAGGCTCACTCGGCGCCTCTGCCCAGCAGAGGGAGCTGGTGGACAGGGGAAAGAGCACCGGTGATTCTTCATCGGCGACTCTGGGCGGCAGCTGATGGAGGTCCACTGTTATCTAGCTAGGGACTGCATTGTAGCTGTGCCAGCCAAATCATGAATGCGGATTTATGCCTATGACGCCTGGGACTATTTCGAGGAATATGGAAGTTTGTCGGGCTTCTCGTTAATCCCTCAGGTGCCCCGGGACCGGCAAACATTATGTTGCCGGCTGCAGGGGTTTACTGTATTCTGCCGTAAATCCCGGTAGAAGTGTCCAGTGCACCCCGATTTCAAGAATTCTTTTTTGGTGGGAGGTGCTACCAGTTTCGTGTGCTTCCCTTAGGCCTTCCATGGGTGTTCAGCAATTTGAGGTTTATTCAAGCTCAGATAGCCAGATAGCAGTGCCGGTGTTGTTACCCGTACCTAGGCTCATCAGGGTTCTAGAATATCAGTTGAGTCTAGAAACCTCACGATCTGTGTTGGTCACTCTTAACAAACTGGGCTGAATTGTCAATCTCAAGAAGTTGGACCTCGTCTCAGAGCAGGATCCGGTCTTTCTTGGGGGTGATGCAAATTTGAGGATGAGACCCATGCAGCAAGCTATAGCAGCTGGGGTCTCACTCATAGGGCTACGAGAGTTTTCTCGAGACACCAGAGTGCTTGATTCCTCATTTGCAGTGGTGGGCAGACGCCGTCGCTCTCCGTCCAGACAGATACATGTTCTGGGAGACCTGTGGTCATCCATGTGCTGGAATTGACAGCAGTCAGTTTGGAGTTCGATCCAGCATGCAGGGTTTCGAATTACCTTTAAGGTCAGACGTTCTCACTCTGAATGGGACGTCACTCCCAAATCCTCGGATTCTTTGGTGGCTTGGCCTCTGTCGGGTCTAACCTCCATACATGCGGGATTCCTGCAGCTGTTGCAGACACAGGTCTTCCTTCGAGGTGGGATTCGACCCCCATTTCGTATGTTGATAGGTGGGGTACGCTGGTAAGCAGATAGGGAGATTTCAGAATCCCTATTCTGCGGATTTAGTTCGGATATTGGAGTTACTATTACCCTGTTTTGGTTGAGAGCCTTTTGTACTCCTTGGTTATTTCCACGTTTCACACCCCTTTCAAAGGCGCACTGCCTAGGCAGCACCCTCTCATACAGCACTTCGTGTCTGGTCCTGACTTTTCAAGAAAATCATCTCTCTCACTTCATTGTTGACGTGGAAGACAGCTTTACTTGTGGTGGTGAGCTCTGGTAGAAGGGTCGGGGACATCCATGCGATATGCACTGACCCAACACTGACAGTATTTCATACTGATCATGTCCGTATTCGCCTCCTGGATACCTACCACTTTCAGATCGATATTGCTTTCCAGGTGACAGCTCATATTGAACTTCCACCATTTACCCAGCCTTCCACATCAGGGACCGATCTTTCAAGTGCTCACCCATTAGAGTGACTATAACAAACGAACGAAAGGGATCCGTACGGGTACCCATGTGTTCTGTTTGGTGGCGGGAAGACTGGGGAGTCTGCTAGCAACACGCATTCTAAGGATCGTGTTCGGTTCAGTCTTTCGTCTCTCAGGTGGGGAGTGTCCTGCCACCCTGACCAAGTGAGTAACTAGTCATTGGTATCAGTTCTGTGTTCAATCTTGATATGGTTCATATCACCACATCGTATCAGCCTTGCCACCCTTTCGGGTTGGGTCGGCTTTGGGTGTACAGTTGTCCCTTCCATCCTCTTCACCTAAAGAGAGGGCGGGGCAGGTTTTGAATGCTATAACCAGTCAGGTGCTATTAACATGTACGACGGAAATGGGTACAAACCCCCCATGGGTCACTGTTTGGAATGCCTCTCTTCGAGCCGCATGTCACGTGACCAGGTACGCGTAATAGTGAGCCAACACATGTTCGGCTACGCATTTCGCTATTCAGGGGATTTTTATATGCTGACAGCTTTTCCCTCTTCCCTCTTCCGAGACTTCGGTATTTGGGAATCTGTGTTAGTCAGTACTTTGGGTGATGGTGGTCTACACGTACCTACCTCGCGCCGAGAGCGTTAGGTGGTTTTTTTTTCTGCTTTTGGTACAATGGTGTTTGTCCTTGTTCGTTTTCCTCAGAAAGTTTTTAGCGAGGCTAATAATTTATCTGGGTTTTATCGAGGTCCCGGCAAGCCCTCTTCCAAACAGGAGGGGTGCATTCGAGCCATAAGTTTGCAGTACTTATTGGCTCGACCCCGGTGTTTTTGGCTTTTAATCGTTTTACGCTCTCCCTACCCTTATACCTCTCACCAGGCTTCGCTGGTTCAGGCTCTTAAGGTTGGGAGTTGTTTCGGCATGTACCCATACATTCCTTTCCATTGTAATGGTTGGGGGTGGGGTTTATGTCATTCTAGATTTGAGCCAATCGAAATATAAGTCTGGGCTCTCTATTTCCCGCCCTAGCCACGCCCCTGCCTGAGTGACATCAGCGGTCAGGTGACTAGGTACGTGTGTTTTTCTATCTCCGATTCAGTCGTAGATCTAACTCCACCACGGGTTTAGTGTTGCCAGACAGAATACCACTCCCGACTCACAATCATTGGGAGTCTGTCTTATGCTTATAAGTACCCCAAGGAGTTCTTTTGAAAAAGAATCGAACCAACCTGTAGAGGTTTCTGAGTCCTCCCCTCATTCTGTCTGATACGTTTAGCATGAAAAGTGAGGTACGAGGTAAGCAGCCAGAGTTATCTGCTCTTGGCTGTAAGGGGCCCTACGGGGTCCTGTAGGGGTGGTCTCACAAGACAAACACGAGTTTTTGTTTTGTAAATATTTTTATTAAAGTATTGTTACAACTGTCGTAGGATTTAAATTTGACATTTAAATGCTTATAAGTACCCCAAGGAGGACTCTTTTGAAAGAATCAGAAACCTCTACAGGTTTGTTCGAGTTTCGGCTATAATCCAGTAGAGTGATGCTGCATTGTTGCCAGTGAATTCATTGATGTCGTCATAACTAAACTACTTTGAAAACATGAAAATTCACACAAACATTGTAGTATCTATTACGAATAGAATACTGGTAGCTCTTTTGGCTAACATGATGGTATATGTGAGTAAAAGCGAAAGCGCACAAGTTCGTCAAATTTGGCCTGATGCTCAAGAGGTGAAAAAAATTGTGTTTTCATTAACATACAAATATCTAAGCTAATAATTACTTAACTGTTATATCGAGTTATCTAATGTTGTAGCGCAACCTATTTGCATGTACAATTATACTGTACTGAGTCTTTAAATACACGTTTTTGATCAACATATCTATGAACCAAAGCACGAGCGTACAGCACACTATATTCGGTTTGCACTGAATGGGATCATACACTGTGCTTAATTCCTCCAAAATGTCACATATGAAACCATTCAAACCCACAAAAAGTAACGCATTTGGTAAAATATTTGGCACTTTTGGAGCCACTTATAAAGATACTCCCACTTGTAAAAATGTTACATGAAACCAACAGAAATAAAAGTATATTTGGCACTTTTAGAGCACATTTTTTTGCTTGGAAATCAAATGCAGATAATGCAAAGGGAACTAACTCTTGATGACCCGATATATTGCAGAATCTGAACCATATCGCGATAATCATATTGCGAGATACTGTATGGGTATATACCAGTTTACCGGTAATATTGCACAGCCCTAAAGTTTACCAACTGTCTGTTTTGATATGACATGGGAAAATAGTTTAGAACCATCTGAAGTCAACCAATGAACAGAAGATGTAAAGGAAAGCATGTGCTTAAGGAACAACCCAGAGACTGTGGGCTTGTAGAGGTGCACTGTATCACTGTACATCATGATGTAAAATATTGATAACTGTGTATCATGGTACCTTTGTTAAATACCAATATACTGTGTTTTTCGAAACGATGTATCGTTTCGTCTTGTGTGGAAATTTACGTAAGTGACAGGTTCAGCTGAAATTTCGAAATTAAAAAATTAGCTACTGATTGCTGTGATTGAAAAAGTGTAACTATTCATGGCCAGTTTCCTGTATATTACATGTCTGACTGCTGTGCATGGGTAATGATCATAGCATGGGTAATGATCATAGCATGGGTAATGATCATAGCATCGGACAAAATGGTAGAGGGCTACAAAGTGGTAGGAAATGTGTGAGGGATGTCTGGTGTATGGTCCATTTTTATTCGAGCTCATAACAAATTACAGGTGAAGGAACACATGAAATATATTGTGGTACATATGAAAATATGGATTATTATTTCATTGATTTGAATGAATATAAAAAGGAATTCCGATAACAATCACTACTGTTTTTTTAAGGCTGTCTTTCACTCTTTCACACAAAGCATTATTATGACTGAAATGAGGAATAGAGCACTTATTCTGCATATCACTTTTCTGTTGAATGTAATTGTTCAATGCTTTTATTTTCGTGATGTTCTTGCATTCTGACAGCTCCGGCGAGAGGGGAGAGTGACCAACGTCAGCGATGTGGTCAGTCGTGGCCAGAAGGTGATGGTCAAGGTGCTGTCCTTTACTGGCAACAAGACCAGCCTGTCCATGAAGGTAGGCACCAAGCTGGAGCCACACTGTGGCATCTTCCCAAATCTGAAATATCAAATGATATGATTTAGTGGAACTTGTATTTCACTGATGACAAGCCAAGTATGGGTGACGGCTTGACTCCTGAGAGATTCTAGGATTTAGTCCTGCCCCACACTGAAGCACATGTGATACATGTCGTCTCACCTTAGGCAAGTGAGTTTGTTAAAAATTGCCTCTGTTCACCCAGCAGAAAATGGGTACCCTGTGACTATAACCTTCTAAGTCCTAACAGGCAGCTTGGGTTATCCGGGGTAATAATGTGTTAGCGCTTTGAGCATGCACATGTGTGTGGAAACAGGTGCTTTATAAATTTCCAGGTGCAGAGGATATACTAATGCTTAGGTTAACATCACTGACTTCTATCTCACTCAGGATGTGGACCAGGATACAGGAGAGGACCTCAACCCAACCAGGAGCCGCAACATCGATGTTGGAGGAGATGACATCGAGGCTCGCAACCCTGACAGGCCGTCCACAATACCTCTGGTGGATGCTCCCGAGAACGACGACCTCACCACAGACAGAAAGACATTCAAGCGTATCTCGTCCCCAGAACGGTGGGAGATCAAACAAATGATAGCTGCTAGCTGTATTGACAAGTCACAGCTTCCGGACTTTGATGATGAAGTCGGACTGCTGCCGAAGGAGGATGACTCAGGTGGGGAAGTGTTTCGTTGTTACAGGGGCACTTGCTGTGTAGTTACAGGGGCACTTGTTTTGTAGTTACAGGGGCACTTGTTTTGTAGTTACAGGGGTACTTGTTTTGTAGTTACAGGGGTACTTGTTTTGTAGTTACAGGGGCACTTGTTTTGTAGTTACAGGGCACTTGTTTTGTAGTTACAGGGTTACTTGTTTTGTAGTTACAGGGGCACTTGTTTTGTAGTTACAGGGGCACTTGTTTTGTAGTTACAGGGGCACTTGTTTTGTAGTTACAGGGATACTTGTTTTGTAGTTACAGGGGCACTTGTTTTGTAGTTACAGGGCACTTGTTTTGTAGTTACAGGGGCACTTGTTTAGTAGTTACAGGGGCACTTGTTTTAGTAGTTACAGGGGCACTTGTTTTGTAGTTACAGGGACACTTGTTTTGTAGTTACAGGGACACTTGTTTTGTAGTTACAGGGGCACTTGTTTTGTAGTTACAGGGGCACTTGTTTAGTAGTTTCAGGGGTACTTGTTTTATAGTTACAGGGGCACTTGTTTAGTAGTTACAGGGGCTCTTGTTTTGTAGTTACAGGGACACTTGTTTTGTAGTTACAGGGACACTTGTTTTGTAGTTACAGGGGCACTTGTTTTGTAGTTACAGGGACACTTGTTTTGTAGTTACAGGGACACTTGTTTTGTAGTTACAGGGACACTTGTTTTGTAGTAGTTACAGGGGTACTTGTTTTGTAGTTACAGGGATACTTGTTTTGTAGTTACAGGGACACTTGTTTTTGTAGTTACAGGGATACTTGTTGTGTAGTTACAGGGGCACTTGTTTAGTAGTTACAGGGGCACTTGTTTTGTAGTTACAGGGATACTTGTTTTGTAGTTACAGGGCACTTGTTTTGTAGTTACAGGGATACTTGTTTGTAGTTACAGGGGCACTTGTTTAGTACAGGGGCACTTGTTTTGTAGTTACAGGGACACTTGTTTTGTAGTTACAGGGACACGTGTTTGTAGTTACAGGGGCACTAGTTTTGTAGTTACAGGGGTACTTGTGTAGTAGCCACAGGGGTACTTGTTTTGTAGTTACAGGGATACTTGTTTTGTAGTTACAGGGGCACTTGTTTTGTAGTTACAGGGATACTTGTTTTGTAGTTACAGGGGCACTTGTTTAGTAGTTACAGGGGCACTTGTTTTGTAGTTACAGGGATACTTGTTTTTTTTGTAGTTACAGGGACACTTGTTTGTAGTTACAGGGGCACTTGTTTTGTAGTTACAGGGCACTTGTTTAGTAGCTAGAGAGGTACTTGTTTTTTGTAGTTACAGGGGCACTTGTTTTGTAGTTACAGGGGCACTTGTTTTGTAGTTACAGGGATACTTGTTTAGTAGTTACAGGGGCACTTGTTTTGTAGTTACAGGGGCACTTGTTTTGTAGTTACAGGGGCACTTGTTTTGTAGTTACAGGGATACTTGTTTTGTAGTTACAGGGGCACTTGTTTTGTAGTTACAGGGGCACTTGTTTTATAGTTACAGGGACACTTGTTTAGTAGTTACAGGGGCACTTGTTTTGTAGTTACAGGGATACTTGTTTAGTAGTTACAGGGCACTTGTTTTATAGTTACAGGGCACTTGTTTAGTAGTTACAGGGGGCACTTGTTTTGTAGTAGTTACAGGGCACTTGTTTAGTAGTTACAGGGGTACTTGTTTTGTAGTTACAGGGACACTTGTTTTGTAGTTACAGGGGCACTTGTTTTGTAGTTACAGGGGCACTTGTTTTGTAGTTACAGGGGCACTTGTTTTGTAGTTACAGGGGTACTTGTTTTGTAGTTACAGGGACACTTGTTTTGTAGTTACAGGGGGCACTTGTTTGTAGTTACAGGGGTACTTGTTTTAGTAGTTACAGGGGCACCTTGTTTTGTAGTTACAGGGGCACTTGTTTTGTAGTTACAGGGGTACTTGTTTTGTAGTTACAGGGCAACTTGTTTTGTAGTTACAGGGATACTTGTTTTGTAGTTTTGTACACAGGGCACTTGTTTTGTAGTTACAGGGGTACTTGTTTTGTAGTTACAGGGACACTTGTTTTGTAGTTACAGGGGACTTTGTTTTGTAGTTACAGGGGTACTTGATTTGTAGTTACAGGGATACTTGTTTTGTAGTTACAGGGGTACTTGTTTTGTAGTTACAGGGACACTTGTTTTGTAGTTACAGGGGCACTTGTTTTGTAGTTACAGGGGCACTTGTTTTGTAGTTACAGGGGCTTGTTGTGTTTACAGGGACAGTTTGTAGTTACAGGGGTACTTGTTTTGTAGTTACAGGGGCACTTGTTTAGTAGTTACAGGGGCACTTGTTTTGTAGTTACAGGGATACTTGTTTTGTAGTTACAGGGGTACTTGTTTTGTAGTTACAGGGCACTTGTTTGTAGTTACAGGGGCACTTGTTTAGTAGTTACAGGGGCACTTGTTTTGTAGTTACAGGGAACACTTGTTTTGTAGTTACAGGGACACTTGTTAGTTACAGGGGCACTTGTTTTGTAGTTACAGGGGGCACTTGTTTTGTAGTTACAGGGACACTTGTTTTGTAGTTACAGGGGTACTTGTTTGTAGTTACAGGGGATTACTTGTTTTGTAGTTACAGGGGGGCACTTGTTTTGTAGTTACAGGGGCACTTGTTTTTGTAGTTACAGGGACACTTGTTTTGTAGTTACAGGGGTACTTGTTTTGTAGTTACAGGGACACTTGTTTTGTAGTTACAGGGACACTTGTTTAGTAGTGACAGGGGTACTTGTTTGTTTTATAGTTACAGGGGCACTTGTTTTGTAGTTACAGGGGCTCTTGTTTTATAGTTACAGGAATTACTTGTTTTGTAGTTACAGGGGCACTTGTTTTATAGTTACAGGGGGCACTTGTTTAGTAGTTACAGGGGCAACTTGTTTTATAGTTACAGGGGTACTTGTTTAGTAGTTACAGGGGTAGTTACAGCTTTGTTTTGTAGTTACAGGGACACTTGTTTTGTAGTTACAGGGGCACTTGTTTTGTAGTTACAGGGGCACTTGTTTAGTAGTTTCAGGGTACTTGTTTTATAGTTACAGGGGCACTTGTTTAGTAGTTTCAGGGTACTTGTTTTATAGTTACAGGGACACTTGTTTAGTAGTTACAGGGGCTCTTGTTTTGTAGTTACAGGGGCACTTGTTTTGTAGTTACAGGGGCACTTGTTTTGTAGTTACAGGGGTACTTGTTTTGTAGTTACAGGGACACTTGTTTTGTAGTTACAGGGGCACTTGTTTTGTAGTTACAGGGGTACTTGATTTGTAGTTACAGGGATACTTGTTTTGTAGTTACAGGGGTACTTGTTTTGTAGTTACAGGGGTACTTGTTTTGTAGTTACAGGGGTACTTGTTTTGTAGTTACAGGGGCACTTGTTTGTAGTTACAGGGGCTCTTGTTTTGTAGTTACAGGGGCACTTGTTTTGTAGTTACAGGGGTACTTGTTTTGTAGTTACAGGGACACTTGTTTTGTAGTTACAGGGCACTTGTTTTGTAGTTACAGGGCACTTGTTTTGTAGTTACAGGGACACTTGTTTTGTAGTTAGTTGTAGGGGAATACTTGTTTTGTAGTTACAGGGGCACTTGTTTTGTAGTTACAGGGGACACTTGTTTTGTAGTTACAGGGACACTTGTTTTGTAGTTACAGGGGTACTTGTTTTGTAGTTACAGGGGTACTTGATTTGTAGTTACAGGGGCACTTGTTTTGTAGTTACAGGGGTACTTGTTTAGTAGTTACAGGGACACTTGTTTTGTAGTTACAGGGACACTTGTTTTGTAGTTACAGGGGCACTTGTTTTGTAGTTACAGGGGGCACTTGTTTAGTGTAGTTACAGGGGCACTTGTTTTGTAGTTACAGGGGCACTTGTTTTGTAGTTACAGGGGCACTTGTTTTGTAGTTACAGGGGGCACTTGTTTTGTAGTTACAGGGACACTTGTTTTGTAGTTACAGGGCACTTGTTTTGTAGTTACAGTAGTTTTATAGTTACAGGGACACTTGTTTTGTAGTTACAGGGGCACTTGTTTTGTAGTTACAGGGGGTACTTGTTTTGTAGTTACAGGGGGCACTTGTTTTGTAGTTACAGGGGGACACTTGTTTTGTAGTTACAGGGACACTTGTTTTGTAGTTACAGGGACACTTGTTTTGTAGTTACAGGGGCACTTGTTTTGTAGTTACAGGGGCACTTGTTTTGTAGTTACAGGGACACTTGTTTTGTAGTTACAGGGACACTTGTTTTGTAGTTACAGGGGCACTTGTTTTGTAGTTACAGGGGCACTTGTTTTGTAGTTACAGTGATGAAGCTTTTGTGTAACTGTATGTCCTCCTTCTTGTCCTCATACTTTCACTCAATCATCTCATGGTGAAGCACATTTCTGGTGTCCCCCGCTGTGATATTGCTAAAAGCAGCGTAAAACCATACTCACTCACTCATTGTCTCCCACAGATGAGGATGTAGAAGTGGAGCTGGTGGAGGAGGAACCACCCTTTCTGCAAGGTCATGGTCGCCACTGGGTCGACCTCAGTCCAGTCAAGATTGTCAAGGTAGGGTCACAATTTGTGTTTGACTGAGCGATATATCTTTGAGCATTTCTGAAAGGAAGCTGCAGGTTTTGATTGGTTTGACAAATACGACAGCAGCATTGTACACACTGTGATACTAATTGCAACAATTGTTTATTTGTTTACAGAATTACTAATAGTAGCAGGATATATATGGATTTCAGATGATTCAGTTTGATTCTTGTGAAGTGCGTCTTGTAGTATGAGGGGAATCTGGTGTGGATTCTGCTTCTACCTTAATGGACCGGGGATGGGGGATAGCCTTCACTCGTCACGTCGAAGGCCTGGGTTCGATTCCCTACTTGTGTACAATGTGTTAAGTCCATTTCTGGTGTCCACTGCCATGATGTTGCTGGAATGTGCTAAAAAGTTGCGTAAAACCATACTCAATCAGTTATTTATTTTGGTCAGTGTAATAATACCCTGACAGGATGGAATGTTGCTCCCTGTATCAGTCTCTGGAATACCGTTGACGATTCTAGTATTCACAGCTAGCTGTCATGATGCTGGAGTATCAATCTCTGGAATACAGTTGATGATTCTAGTATTCACAGGTAGCTGTCATGATGCTGGAGTATCAGTCTCTGGAATACTGTTGACGATTCTAGTATTCACAGCTAGCTGTCAATGGAGTATCAATCTCTGGAACACCGTTGACGATTCTAGTATTCACAGCTAGCTGTCATGATGCTGGAGTATCAATCTCTGGAATACCGTTGACGATTCTAGTATTCGAGCTAGCTGTCAATGGAGTATCAATCTCTGGAATACCGTTGACGATTCTAGTATTCACAGCTAGCTGTCATGATGCTGGAGTATCAATCTCAGGAATACCGTTGACGATTCTAGTATTCACAGGTAGCTGTCATTGGAGTATCAATCTCTGGAATACCGTTGACGATTCTAGTATTCACAGCTAGCTGTCATGATGCTGGAGTATCAATCTCTGGAATACCGTTGACGATTCTAGTATTCTGATTCTAGTATTCAATGAGCTAGCTGTCATTGCTGGAGTATCAATCTAATACCTTTGCTGTCATGATGAGTAATCAATCTTGACGATTCTAGTATTCACAGCTAGAATACAATCTTTGACGATTCTAGTATTCACAGCTAGATGTCATGATGCTGGAGTATCAATCTCTGGAATACTGTTGACGATTCTAGTATTCACAGCTAGCTGTCAATGGAGTATCAATCTCTGGAATACCGTTGACGATTGATGATTCTAGTATTCACAGCTAGCTGTCATGATGCTGGAGTATCAATCTCTGGAATACTGTTGAGCTGATTCTAGTATTCACAGCTAGCTGTCATGATGCTGGAGTATCAATCTCAGGAATACCGTTGATGATTCTAGTATTCACAGCTAGCTGTCATGATGCTGGAGTATCAATCTCTGGAATACCGTTGACTGTGATTCTAGTATTCACAGCTAGCTGTCATGATGCTGGAGTATCAATCTCTGGAATACCGTTGATGATTCTAGTATTCACAGCTAGCTGTCATGATGCTGGAGTATCAATCTCTGGAATACCGTTGATGATTCTAGTATTCACAGCTAGCTGTCATGATGCTGGAGTATCAATCTCTGGAATACCGTTGATGATTCTAGTATTGTCATGATGCTGGAGTATCAATCTCTGGAATACAGTTGATGATTCTAGTATTCACAGCTAGCTGTCATGATGCTGAGTATCAATCTCTGGAATACCGTTGATGATTCTAGTATTCACAGCTAGCTGTCATTGATGCTATCAATCTCTGCCTAGCTAGCTGTCATGATGCTGGAGTATCAATCTCTGGAATACCGTTGATGATTCTAGTATTCACAGCTAGCTGTCATGATGCTGGAGTATCAATCTCTGGAATACCGCTTGATGATTCTAGTATTCACAGCTAGCTGTCATGATGCTGGAGTATCAATCTCTGGAATACCGTTGACGATTCTAGTATTCACAGCTAGCTGTCATGATGCTGGAGTATCAATCTCTGGAATACCGTTGATGCTAGTATTCACAGCTAGCTCATGATGCTGGAGTATCAATCTCTGGAATACCGTTGATGATTCTAGTATTCACAGCTAGCTGTCAGCTAGCTGTCAATGGAGTATCAATCTCTGGAATACTGTTGACGATTCTAGTATTCACAGCTAGCTGTCATGATGCTGGAGTATCAATCTCTGGAATACCGTTGATGATTCTAGTATTCACAGCTAGCTGTCATGATGCTGAGTATCAATCTCTGGAATACCGTTGATGATTCTAGTATTCACAGCTAGCTGTCATGATGCTGGAGTATCAATCTCTGGAATACTGTTGACGATTCTAGTATTCACAGCTAGCTGTCATGATGCTGGAGTATCAATCTCTGGAATACCGTTGACGATTCTAGTATTCACAGCTAGCTGTCATGATGCTGGAGTATCAGTCTCTGGAATACTGTTGACGATTCTAGTATTCACAGCTAGCTGTCATGATGCTGGAGTATCAATCTCTGGAATACCGTTGACGATTCTAGTATTCACAGCTAGCTGTCATGATGCTGGAGTATCAATCTCTGGAATACCGTTGACGATTCTAGTATTCACAGCTAGCTGTCAATGGAGTATCAATCTCTGGAATACCGTTGATGATTCTAGTATTCACAGCTAGCTGTCATGATGCTGGAGTATCTATCTCTGGAATACCGTTGATGATTCTAGTATTCACAGCTAGCTGTCATGATGCTGGAGTATCAGTCTCTGGAATACCGTTGACGATTCTAGTATTCACAGCTAGCTGTCATGATGCTGGAGTATCAATCTCTGGTATACCGTTGATGATTCTAGTATTCACAGCTAGCTGTCATGATGCTGGAGTATCAATCTCTGGTATACCGTTGATGATTCTAGTATTCACAGCTAGCTGTCATGATGCTGGAGTATCAATCTCTGGTATACCGTTGATGATTCTAGTATTCACAGCTAGCTGTCAATGGAGTATCAATCTCTGGAATACCGTTGGTGGATCTAGTATTCACAGGTAGCTGTCATGATGCTGGAGTATCAATCTGTAGAATACCGTTGATGATTCTAGTATTCACAGCTAGTTGTCATGATGCTGGAGTATTGCTGAATGGGCGCCATACACCAAACCCTTTTCTGAAATAGTTGTTACAATTATAAATAAGCAAAAGTTGGTGAAATGCAGATTCATTTATGACATATGTCAACTTTCAGAATCCTGATGGTTCACTGGCGCAGTCGGCCATGATGCAGAGTGCGCTGCAGAAGGAGCGGAGGGAGTTGAAGCAGGCGCAGCGAGAAGCAGAGATGGACTCTGTCCCAGCAGGACTCAACAACCACTGGATCGATCCTATGCCTGAAAGTACGACACTGTTTTGTTCTCCTTTCTTGATCTGCTTTTTAAGTGTGTTTTTGAAAGATGTTTAGAAGCTCTCTCCAAAAACATTTTTCCTTACATATTATGACAGGTATGTTTGCCAGGTTTTCAGAAGCTGGAAGAACATGAAACTTTATGGATAACGACATGATTGATTCAATATTTACCTTATGAAGGGACAAGAAGTAGCTATGAAAATAAATGTACAATGCGATTTAGAAAGTGGTCAAATGTAACATTTGACATATTCTAGTACTTTGTTGGGTTGAGTCCCATCCGGGATTCGAATTCACACCCTCAGAGTCAGGCACCTAATCGCCAGCACGCTTAGGTATCTTGACAAACTGGAAGTTGTGGTGGCTGGGTGGGTTAGATGGCTGACTTTGTGTGCTGGCAATTAGAGGCCTGACTCTGAGGATGTGGGTTGAATCCTGGATTGGACTCAACCCAACAAAGTACTAGAATCTGTACTTTACTGAGAACGTGTAATCCCAAATATACCGGTAACATATGTTAGAGTTATGAAAAGTTGCAAATAATGACATTGTTGTCAGTGTAAGTTTATTTATTATTTGGAGCGGCTGCGTAGCGTAAGGTTTAAAGATCTACTCGTCACGTTGAAGACCCTGGTTTGATTCCTCAATGTGTGAAGCCCGTTTGTTGTTACTTGGGTCCTTATCAAACGAAAGGTTTCCTCTTAGGTATCTTTACAAAGCAGGTGCAACTTTTCTTAATATACTTTCTGTTCTCGCCTTTATGAGACAAGCTTTAAAGACAAGATTCAGGCCTTGATACACCTAACTTGAAGATGGTGGATTGATTTTAAATGCGTGTGCAGGTGATGGACGTAAGTTGGCTGCGAACATGCGTGGTGTCGGGATGGCGCCGAATGATGTCCCTGAGTGGAAGAAGCACATCACAGGGGGCGCGAAGGCATCGTACGGCAAGAAGGAGAAGAAGTCCCTCCTGGAACAGCGCCAGGGTCTGCCCATCTTCAAACTGAAGGACCAACTCTCCAAGGTAAGTCACATATATGATTATGCACTGAATTGCAATAACCAGCTGAATATATGGGGATGTTCTCCTATTGTTGTAATCACAGGAGAAGAGACTTAATGGTTTGGGTGGTCAGGCTCTGACTCGATAGCATGTCATCTTTCTGTGTCAATTATTGTTCACTCTGTCGATCACAGGATCGTGTGGTCCAGGCTCAATCAAAGTATTTTGAAATTAACTGATGTAACTTCTCTGCAGGCAGTCAATGACAACCAGATACTGATCGTAATTGGTGAGACTGGGTCAGGGAAGACAACTCAGATCACCCAGTACCTGGCGGAAGTGGGTTACACCACGCGGGGGAAGATTGGCTGTACACAGCCCAGGAGAGTGGCAGCCATGTCCGTGGCCAAGAGAGTGTCGGAGGAGTTCGGTTGCCGTCTCGGGCAGGAGGTCAGTGATCTGCATCTTCAGACATGCATGTTTATAGAGTCTTAGACCAGTTTATAAATAATAATTAGTGCTGACATTATCATCCCTGTTGAATAAATATGTTCTGTATTCTAGAGGCAGTATTGCAGATCTTTCCTTAGATTTTCATGACTTTGTCTTGAAGTATGTGATTAGCAGAAATCTCCAGCTATGGTTTCCATCAAAATGTTGGAGATCAGAAGTAAATTGCTGCACATTTATGAGAGACATTTGATTCAGCAGACTTGGCATGTACAAGCAGTATACTCTCATTATCGTAACATCACTACTACAGTCCGTTTGGGTTCAAATGAGAATGTCAAATGATGAAATAGCACAAAATTGGGATAAGTGCACGAAACATAAACACACATGGTCCTGAAACCTCTGTACCCAACAGGATCTGAAATCTGTGACGTTTTATGATCGATTACGGAAAAAAATGTTTAAGAAACCATCATGTAATATTGTGCTATTTTCACGTTTCACACCTAGGGGTGACAAGTGGCTGATGGAACAGCACCATCACACATTCAGATCAGCCGCGATGACGCCAGCTTGTCAGGCGCTGTTCCATCAAACATCTGTCAATCCCGGTGTGAAGCGTGATCGATAAAAAAAAGCATACATCCAGCATATATATACTTCCCCCTTCTTCACGTTCCATTATGCTTGACAACGGTACAAGAATCTGTATCGAAACGTCGCACTCACGAATAAAAAGTTGTTATTCATAAAGTGTGTTCTATATTGTACTTCCCAACTTCTAAAATTCCACTCAAAGAAGGAAAAAAAAGGTAAGATTTCAGATCCTGTTGGGTACAGAGGTTTCAGGACCATGTGTCTTATTTATGTTTTGTGCACTTATCCCAATTTCGAGTTATTTAATCATTTGTCGTTCTCATTTGAACCCAAACGGACTACATGAAATCATCTTGGTACAGTCTAGCCAACGAAAGTCCAGAATTAAGGTTCTTCAACTATCCATGCTTGTTATGAAAGGCAATTAATGAGATAGTGTTGTCAGACTTGCTCCTTTGGTTGAAGCATGTAATTGTACAACAAATTTGTAGATTCTTGCTCTTGATACCAATCACTGGATTGTCTGGTCTGCACTTATTTACAGCTTGTTCAACTCGACCTGATCAAGTGAATACTAATGCATTGCGTGACCGTGTAACAACTGGCTGGGTCTATTATTGTGAAGGGGTGCACCTTTGTCAGTTGATTGTCAACATGTCTGAACAGCCAAAACAAGGTCGCCGTTTGACATCTCAGTGTCGAGAAATCGTCACCAATGTCCTAACTTTCTTTAAAAACGAAGCTACAGATGGTTTAATGTTTCCGATTCAGGCTTTTAGGCATTAATAACATTCTCTGCTCCCCTATTTAATGAAGTTAACTCGGCCTGCTGTTTGTGCCATTTGACCTCCCGGGTCATGCATATGTAGAGTAGCTCAGGTCAAGCTGAACAAGCTGTATTTAGAGACTTCTGTCATACAGCTGGAATATTGGCAAGAGCTTGTTAAACAGCAAACAAACTGCCGATTTGACTATGTATTATCTGTATCAGCGGTAGTCGGTGGGACTCAACTGTTAACTTGTCCTGTCTGTTTTTGTACAGGTCGGCTACACCATACGTTTCGAGGACTGCACTAGCCCCGAGACGAAGATCAAGTACATGACAGACGGTATGCTGCTGCGAGAGTGTCTCATTGACCCTGACCTTGTTCAGTACTCCATCATCATGTTGGACGAAGCCCACGAGAGAACTATCCATACAGATGTCCTGTTTGGACTTCTGAAAGCAGTAAGTGGCCAGTACCAGAATCATGGGAAGCTCAGTCAGCGGCAAGGGCTGTAGTTATACACTGTTACAACCTTGAAAGTGAGGTTGTGACACGATAAACAATAACTTGTAACATTTGTCAGGTTAGCTGATTGGCTTACAGTTACACAATCCAAATTACACTTGCCTTTTTATGGGTTTTTTGAAGAAATTGTACAGTGATAATTGGGCATGTGAATTCAGAGTTTGTGAAGATTATGGGATGACTGACTTTGTTGAGCAGAGGAAACAAATTAAGTTTATAATTATCCCAAGTCTGTGTTCTGGAGGTGAAGATGGGAGTCCCCCAGTCTCAGTTGGCCACATGCATGGGTTGAGGGTGTGAAGAGGGGAGTACCCCAGTCTCAGTTGGCCACATGCATGGGTTGAGGGTGTGAAGGGGAGTGGGTTGAGGGTGTGAAGAGGGGAGTACCCTAGTCTCAGTTGGCCACATGCATGGGTTGAGGGTGTGAAGAGGGGAGTACCCTAGTCTCAGGGGTTGAGGGTGAAGAGGGGAGTACCCTAGTCTCAGTGTGCATGGGTTGAGGGTGTGAAGAGGGGAGTACCCTAGTCTCAGTTGGCCACATGCATGGGTTGAGGGTGTGAAGAGGGGAGTCCCCTAGTCTCAGTTGGCCACATGCATGGGTTGAGGGTGTGAAGAGGGGAGTACCCTAGTCTCAGTTGGCCACATGCATGGGTTGAGGGTGTGAAGAGGGGAGTACCCTAGTCTCAGTTGGCCACATGCATGGGTTGAGGGTGTGAAGAGGGGAGTCACCCTAGTCTCAGTTGGCCACATGCATGGGTTGAGGGTGTGAAGAGGGGAGTACCCTAGTCTCAGTTGGCCACATGCATGGGTTGAGGGTGTGAAGAGGGGAGTACCCTAGTCTCAGTTCTCAGTTGGCCACATGCATGGGTTGAGGGTGTGAAGAGGGGAGTACCCTAGTCTCAGTTGGCCACATGCATGGGTTCAGGGTGTGGAGGCCATTGTCCCCTGCTGTGTTACTGGAATATTGTGAAGATAAGTTTAAGTCTTCCACGTGTACGGTATGAGTCCTAAGACTTGTGTATGACGATTGTAACAACAGTACAAAGATGATGTCTTGTCTTACAGGCGGTGAAGAAAAGGCCGGAGTTGAAGTTGATAGTAACATCAGCCACCCTTGATTCTGTCAAGTTCTCGCAGTACTTCTTTGAAGCTGTAAGTCCTCACTTTAACACAATACATCCCAGTAGTTACACCCTACAGGTCCAGAGCCTTTGTTTGATGTAAGAGCTGGCTGAGATGTGACCCACAAGTTTGTAACTTGGCTGTTTGTCTTTTGCCTTTATTCCTGAACATTCTGCCTACTACTGTGATATAAGTGCTGTTGTATTCCTGACTACAGGGCCCCACTCCACAAAGCAACGGTTGTGTGACTGTTGTACAAGATGATCATAACTCCCATTAACATAGACATTAGATTATCATTGTGCTAATGTGGCTTTGTGGAATGGGGTCCCTGCCTTCATTATATATCTGTGAAGTTGCTGAGTACTTCACACCATGATAACAGTGTCACCTTGCTTACTACAGCTGTAACATTGTTAGCTAGTCATACGGATGTAACATATCTGCCTACACTCATCCAGCTGTAACATTGCTGGCTACAGTCATCCAGCTGTAACATTGCTGGCTACAGTCATCCAGCTGTAACATTGCTGGCTACAGTCATACAGGTGTAAAATTGCTGGCTACAGTCATACAGCTGTAACAATGCTGGCTACAGTCATACATCTGTAACATTGCTGGCTACAGTCATACAGCTGTAACAATGCTGGCTACAGTCATACAGTTGTAACAATGCTGGCTACAGTCATACAGCTGTAACAATGCTGGCTACAGTCATACAGCTGTAACATTGCTGGCTACAGTCATACAGCTGTAACATTGCTGGCTAGTCATACAGCTGTAACATTGCTGGCTACAGTGATACAGCTGTAACAATGCTGGCTACAGTCATACAGCTGTAACAATGCTGGCTACAGTCATACAGGTGTAACATTGCTGGCTACAGTCATACAGCTGTAACATTGCTGGCTACAGTCATACAGCTGTAACTGCTGGCTACAGTCATACAGTTGTAACAATGCTGGCTACAGTCATACAGGTGTAACAATGCTGGCTACAGTCATACAGGTGTAACATTGCTGGCTACAGTCATACAGCTGTAACAATGCTGGCTACAGTCATACAGCTGTAACAATGCTGGCTACAGTCATACAGCTGTAACAATGCTGGCTACAGTCATACAGCTGTAACATTGCTGGCTACAGTCATAAAGCTGTAACATTGCTGGCTACAGTCATACAGCTGTAACATTGCTGGCTACAGTCATAAAGCTGTAACATTGCTGGCTACAGTCATACAGCTGTAACAATGCTGGCTGCAGTCACAGCTGTAACATTGCTGGCTACAGTCATACAGCTGTAACAATGCTGGCTACAGTCATACAGCTGTAACAATGCTGGCTGCAGTCATACAGCTGTAACAATGCTGGCTACAGTCATACAGCTGTAACAATGCTGGCTACAGTCATACAGCTGTAACAATGCTGGCTGCAGTCACAGCTGTAACATTGCTGGCTACAGTCATACAGTTGTAACAATGCTGGCTACAGTCATACAGGTGTAACATTGCTGGCTACAGTCATAAAGCTGTAACATTGCTGGCTACAGTCATACAGCTGTAACATTGCTGGCTACAGTCATAAAGCTGTAACATTGCTGGCTACAGTCATACAGTTGTAACAATGCTGGCTACAGTCATACAGCTGTAACAATGCTGGCTACAGTCATAAAGCTGTAACATTGCTGGCTACAGCTGTAACAATGCTGGCTACAGTCATACAGCTGTAACATTGCTGGCTACAGTCATACAGCTGTACAGTCTGTAACATTGCTGGCTACAGTCATACAGCTGTAACATTGCTGGCTACAGTCATACAGCTGTAACATTGCTGGCTACAGTCATACAGCTGTAACATTGCTGGCTACAGTCATACAGCTGTAACATTGCTGGCTACAGTCATACAGCTGTAACAATGCTGGCTACAGTCATACAGCTGTAACTCCTAATAATCCGCTAATCTGTGCAGCCAATCTTCACGATCCCTGGTCGGACATACCCTGTGGAGATCCTATACACCAAGGAGGCCGAGACAGACTACCTGGACGCATCCATGATCACTGTCATGCAGATACACCTGACGGAACCTCCAGGTGAGAACCCACACACCTGGTCCCAAGTAGTACTGACTAAGCAATTCAACATAGACACACCTGACGGAACCTATAGGTGAGGTCCCACACACCTGTCTACAAGTAGTGATTACTGGGTGATTACATATACACACCTGACAGAACTTGCAGGTGAAGGCCCACACACCTGTATACAAGTAGTGATTACTGGGTGATTACACATAGACACACCTGACAGAACTTGCAGGTGAGGTCCCACACGCCTGTCTACAAGTAGTGATTACTGGGTGATTACACATAGACACACCTGACAGAACTTGCAGGTGAGGTCCCACACACCTGTCTACAAGTAGTGATTACTGGATGATTACACATAGACACACCTGACAGAACCTGCAGGTGATTTTCGAAGCTCACTTAGTCATAGCGCTAAGAAAATCATAAGTGCCATACATTAACATTATCTTATGACTAGCTTAGGGACCGTTCATAATATATGGCTAGGGTGGTGATGATGATTTTTATGGAGAAGCATGTACAATGTGAATGACCCCCCTAAAATTTATGTACAAAATCAATGACCCCCCCTTCCCTTCCCATAATTTCTAAGCATAATTTTAAACATATATTTATGTACAAAATTGCTGATCCCCCCCTAGTACGTGTGTACAAAATTGATACCCCTCCAGCTCCCCAGAACAAAATGGGTGACCTCCCCCTTAAAATCATCATCACCCCCCAGCCATAAATAATGAACGGTCCCTTAGTGCTAAGAGAGCTTAAAAAAATCTAGGCCCTGGTCCAAAGTAGGGATGACTTAGTGATTACACATGGACACATTTGACAGAACCACAAAAATATTGATTGCTTAGTCAGACAGATGCAAAAAAATGACAAGCTGTATAATTTTTCCATTCCACTGTTATTCATCTATGTCCACCTGGATGACTCCTTGTCTATGTACCACACAGGCGACATCCTGCTGTTTCTCACTGGTCAGGAAGAGATCGACTCCGCCTGTGAGATCCTGTATGAGAGGATGAAGGCTATGGGGCCCGAGGTGCCCGACCTCATCATCCTCCCCGTGTACAGTGCCCTGCCCAGCGAGATGCAGACCAGGATCTTCGAACCAGCGCCACCTGGATCCAGAAAAGTTGTCATAGCAACCAACATTGCTGAGACGTCGCTGACAATTGATGGCATCTATTATGTGGTGGATCCTGGCTTTGTGAAACAGAAGGTGTACAACTCTAAGACTGGCATGGATCAGCTGATTGTCACGCCCATCTCTCAGGTATGTGGGAACTAAGGTGCCTACAATATAGGATTCTCCACACATTTTATGATCCAATAAATATGCAAATAAGATTACCAAGCAAGAGGTAGTTTTGAAATCCATCCCTCACTGGAATGTCTGCTTGATCAGTACAGTGGAAACCGCCTAAGTAAAGACCGCTTAACTAAACACACCGGATAAGTAAACACTTTTCTTTGGTCCCGGCAAATTTCTTCATTAATTATCACTATTAGAGTCTGGTTAACTAAACTCGGATAAGTAAACAATACCGCTTAACTAAACGTCTTCTCACAGTCCCTGGAAGTACATTACTTAACAAAAGATACTGGATAACTAAATTAGCGATCACCACATAATCCGACATGACGGGCAGTCGTGTCGGTCTCCAGTCAAACAAACATCCCCTACTTACAGCTCGCTGGTGTCAAGCAGTTGACAATACACTGACAACTGGAGGCCAGCCCTGATAAGTTGTTCATTGTTACATATGCATACATATACATGCATATGGTTGTCATTTGCAGGTTTTTATAAGTTTGGATAAGTAAAATACCTGATAAGTAAACAATTTTGGCGAAGTCCCTTGAAATTTTACTTATCAGGTTTCCACTGTATATTGCTGCCTGACATTTCCAGTGTCTGTAGACAGGGGTGTATCACAGTGTATGGGGCTATTACAGACAGCACAGCACAGTTCACTCCAACACTGCATTCCTTGGTGACTTCTGATGTCATTGAGTGAATAACATGTTAAATATTGAATCTTTTATGAATGCCATTATAATGAGGTATTACCCTCCTGTTTCCACACAATAAATGTTTTAAATTACAAACGAGAAATGTGTATGATGATTGCATAAATTCAAATTTTATTTCTGCCACATGATATCTTTCTGTGTTAATGTAGCACCTTGGCATTGGGGTAGCCCAGTGGTTAAGGCGTTCGCTTGTCACGACAAAGACCCGGGTTCAATTTCGATTCCCCACGTGGGTACAAAGTGTGATGACCCAAAGTGTTCCCCGCCGTGACCCAATATTGCTGTTCCCTCTCTCACTCACTATTGCTGGAATATTGCTCAACTCACTCCACTCACTCACTCACTCTCACTCACTCACTCATTCACTCACTCACTGTAATAACTTGATAGCAAGCATTAAAACACATTATAACAAATGTAACAAACTGTGGACACAAACATTGTGACCCATTGAAATGCACATTAACACTGTGACACATTGTTCCACACTTTACAGGCCCAGGCCAAGCAGCGAGCAGGCCGAGCTGGGCGGACAGGTCCAGGGAAGTGTTACCGTCTGTACACGGAGCGTGCCTACCGAGACGAGATGCTGCCCACCAACGTCCCCGAGATCCAGCGCACCAACCTGGCCTCCACTGTGCTGTCCTTGAAGGCCATGGGTATCAATGACCTCCTATCCTTCGACTTCATGGACGCCCGGCCCATGCAGACCTTGATATCAGCCATGGAGCAACTGCATGCCCTCAGTGCGCTGGACGATGAAGGCTTGTTGACCAGGCTTGGAAGGAGGGTAGGTGGACACTACATCACATACTACCCATAATGTATCAGCTCTTTCCTTACCATACAATGCAATGCTCCTAAACAGGTATTGATAAGTAAGTAGTGAGGGTAGGTGGACACTATGTCACATACTACCCATAATGTATCAGCTCTTTCCTTACCATACAATGCAATGCTCCTAAACAGGTATTGATAAGTAAGTAGTGAGGGTAGGTGGACACTACATCACATACTACCCATAATGTATCAGCTCTTTCCTTACCATACAATGCAATGCTCCTAAACAGGTATTGATAAGTAAGTAGTGAGGGTAGGTGGACACTACATCACATACTACCCATAATGTATCAGCTCTTTCCTTACCATACAATGCAATGCTCCTAAACAGGTATTGATAAGTAAGTAGTGAGGGTAGGTGGACACTACATCACATACTACCCATAATGTATCAGCTCTTTCCTTACCATACAATGCAATGCTCCTAAACAGGTATTGATAAGTAAGTAGTGAGGGTAGGTGGACACTACATCACATACTACCCATAATGTATCAGCTCTTTCCTTACCATACAATGCAATGCTCCTAAACAGGTATTGATAAGTAAGTAGTGAGGGTAGGTGGACACTACATCACATACTACCCATAATGTATCAGCTCTTTCCCTTACCATACAATGCAATGCTCCTAAACAGGTATTGATAAGTAAGTAGTGAGGGTAGGTGGACACTACATCACATACTACCCATAATGTATCAGCTCTTTCCTTACCATACAATGCAATGCTCCTAAACAGGTATGTGAGGGGGTAGGTGGACACTACATCACATACTACCCATAATGTATCAGCTCTTTCCTTACCATACAATGCAATGCTCCTAAACAGGTATTGATAAGTAAGTAGTGAGGGTAGGTGGACACTACATCACATACTACCCATAATGTATCAGCTCTTTCCTTACCATACAATGCAATGCTCCTAAACAGGTATTGATAAGTAAGTAGTGAGGGTAGGTGGACACTACATCACATACTACCCATAATGTATCAGCTCTTTTCTTACCATACAATAATATGTAGTTAGTCAGAATACAGAATCATTTCCATGCTCAATAGTTCACAAGATTTGTAGAGGTTAGAGCTGTTGTGAGAGATGATTACTGTTATCATGGGATCATGCTCATGATGTGAATCACTGGATTGTCAGGTTCAGATTTAATTATTTTTACAGACAACCCTGAATTAGCTGGAATATTGCTAAGTGTGACATTAAGCAACAAACAAGTTGTTAATTAATGGTAATCATTATCCCCCCCAGATGGCTGAGTTCCCCCTGGAGCCCATGCTGTCCAAGATGTTGATCATGTCGGTCCACCTCACCTGCAGTGACGAGATCCTCACCATCGTCTCCATGCTGTCTGTGCAGAACGTCTTCTACAGACCTAAGGTACGGAGAGAGGGATATAGTGTTGGGAATTGGTTGAAATCTCACAATTGATGATTGCTTCATTACCAGCGAACAATCATCGAAGAAAATTTGTTAGCGTCATTTTTCAGATTTTCCTATCCAGGTTGTTATTGCAGAAAAGTATAACATGATGCAAGTTGCTACTTTAAAGTGATGACTAATATATCATGAACATAAACTTCCTGGAGTCTTAGCGAAATATTCAGTCATGGCTTTTCAATTAGTGAAACATGTTTTCAGGCCCTGACAACTTCTAAGATATGTTCCATCGTCAAGTGTTTCAAACACTAAAATAGCACTTCCAAAATTGTTTATGTTCGATTATGAGAAAATGTGATCGATTGCTTGGTCGTTTGGTCACTGCGACCAATCTTCGATTATTTCAATTAATCGGAACACCACTAGAGGGATGCAAGGAAGAGGGTTTGGGAGACATCGTCGTTTATTGCTGTTAGTAGTTGAATGGTTGACTAGTGTAAACCTTATTACAGTAGTGCTCAGGGTTTGTACGTTGTTCGGCTTGAACAAGACAGAACGCTAACCACAAAATTATTGCAAAATGTTAACATTTTCAGTCAGTTTTATTCAGTTCCAATTCAAGCAAAATTGCAGCATGAGGAATTGGTTCAGAATAATGGCATATAGCTGGAACTGGTCAGTGAGGTCAACCATTACTGGATGTTCATTTTCCATCACACTTTAATCTCCATGTTCTCAGGACAAGCAGGCCATAGCTGACCAGAAGAAGGCCAAGTTCCACCAGCCAGAGGGGGACCATTTGACACTGTTGGCCGTGTATAATTCCTGGAAGAACAACAGGTTCGCCAGCCCGTGGTGCTACGAGAACTTTGTACAGATCCGGACACTGAAACGAGCGCAGGACGTCCGCAAACAGATGTTGGGAATCATGGACAGGTTTGACACCTCTCTCAAGTCATAATGACCTAGCTGGATTGATAAGCTGATGGGAGTTCTGTGACGGTCATAGATCTGATTAACTATGAGAATTATAAGGCCATCAGGGAAAGTTCCACGTTTCAATCTTATGGTCCATTAGAATCTGGTGACATATGGGGGCTTCTATTGTGAGAGGTAGATGACATGACTGATGTATGTGTTACCGTCAAATGTCTGTCAAATAGATCTCAAAATGAGGCAGTACTCTGCCCATTTACATCCTAAAAAGCTGGTTAATTGAGAAATTATTATATATATAGATAATGTGTATCTTAAATGATCTTTAGGTGGCGGTATATATGGTTTGGTTTCTTAGTGAATAATAATGGCCTCAAATCCCTACTTTCCACCTACAGACATAAGCTGGACGTGGTGTCGTGTGGGAAGAACACTGCTCGGGTACAGAAGGCCATCTGTTCCGGTTTCTTCCGTAACGCAGCCAAGAAGGACCCTCAGGAAGGCTACAGGACAATTGTGGACAGCCAGGTGGTGTACATCCATCCCTCCAGTGCCCTCTTCAACAGACAGCCAGACTGGTAAGTGGTCCCAACAGGTCCCAGAGCTCATTCTGTTGCTGGCGTTTAGAGAGTCTGGTAAGAGTTATGTCCCTTTGTGTCATGTAATCAATAATTTGTTCTGTCTGATATTCAACATACTGTGGTGGTGTTTCTAGATCCAGAAAAGTCTGAAGTATCCTGCACCAATGTCTAGAACTCAAGTTCATATCATCGCCCCTCACTATCTCCCTGCCCCTGTGTCCATGTCTCCAGTGCCAGCCCTCTAAGGTCTGAAGCCATGTTAATCTTGAGTTTCCGTGTTTCCACTTCCAGGGTAGTATATCATGAGCTGGTCCTCACCACCAAGGAGTACATGAGGGAAGTGACAGCCATCGACCCCAAGTGGCTGGTGGAGTTTGCTTCCAAGTTCTTCAAGTTCTCCGACCCTACCAAGCTGAGTCGGCAGAAGAAGCAGCAGAAGATCGAGCCCCTGTACAACAAGTACGAGGAACCCAACCAGTGGAGGATCTCACGGGCATTCAGGAAGTTCCACACCAAGGTCACCTTCTAGGGGCCAGCTGTATGGGATGCTTATTTCTATGTCAAGGCCCTCAGACCTCTGTCTTTGTTTGGATGGCTTTTAACTGGAGGTCATAAGGTGGAGATCAGTCACCTATTTGCTGTACGATATGGATGTGTTTGTGGAGAATGCTTCAAACTGATCCCTGATAAGGACCCAACTTATTGCTGAAGTGCTGAAGACACATTATGATGAGGAACACTGGTGACAAACATTCATGTATTTAGCTTTCTAAAATGTCCACAACAAACCTGGCCAGGGATATATTATAATGTTGACACTGTGTAAACAAATGCTTCACACCATATGCCAGAAAAACAACCAGGTTTTTTCCTTTAATTTTAATTTCTGTCACATGGCTGTCTGGGCATTCTGTCAGTAATTGGTCAAGTCAGTCTGTGTTTAAAGAAGCATCAGCTACAGTAGGTATTCCTGGTCCACAGACTGTGGTAGATGCACACAGTCTGCTAGAACATATTTTAGACATGACAACTTGATTCAAGGCCACTTAAAGTTAGTGTGATCTGTATTGTGTGGGATTTGAAAATCATTTAGTGTATTATGGAAACAAACAATTTGAAGTTGCTATTGTTTAAACAAATCATGCTTCGGTGTAAAACTGATATTGTGAAGCAGGTGTTTTACCCAGCTGTACATAGTATTTTATGTAGAGATGTTTGACCTATCCATCTTACAGATGTCATCTTCATTAGAAGTGAGAGATTCACCACATGGGACTTGGGTTAGATATTATCCCAACCTTTCCACAGTAAATGTCAGCAATGACTAAATATAATCAAGCTGGGTGACTTAGTTGTTCACGTGTCAGCTTTCACTGACGGGGTGTATCAATTCTCATAACATCAGTCAGAGAGAAGGTGACCATAAGTGGTGCACTTGTGCCCTTTGTCTTTTGGACAGTAAAATGTGTTTAAAACAAAAACAACATTGGTCACTGGGTTGCTTGGATCAGATTTAATTGTTTACAGACCATCTCCACATAGCTGGAATATTGCTGAATGTGGAGTTGGACACCTCAGTCGGCATTGGGGGCAAGAGCTGCGTTCCTTGTGAGGTGCAGGTGACAGTGCTCTGACCATCAAACCCATCTCACTCTTCTGGTTGTTTTTATCTGTATACATCAGATCATGGACACATGTCAGATTAATACTTGTCATAATTTGTTGAATAAAAATATGTAAATAGTATTACTGTGTGATGCTCTTACTGTTTTACGTGGAACTATTTCAGGGGAGATAACTCTTACAGGTCTATCCTGAAGTGTACAGTGACGCTGTAAAATGTCTTGGTGTGGAAAGACAAGCATGGGACATTCCCTTCTTACAGTGTGAGAACTGTTTATGTTCTGAGTAGTTGGGGATCAGGTGGTCAGAATGGCTGGTGTGTGAATAATATCTGAAGCAGTCTATCTGGAAGATCAACTTTACTGAACCAAGGAGATTTCAACAGAGTGATCTTAACACCAAAAATATTTGTCATAACTTACATTTTTAGACATAGACAATATTTCTAGTAATCACTTTCTGGATAACACTCGTGAGTGATTGAGTCTCAAACACTGTCCGTATGGACAGTCAGGTCTGTTTAGTCCAAAACATATAATGTATGATAGAGTTGTAATATTGCTGTGTTTTATATAATATGGAGTTTACCCACTTAGGTCAGTCAGTGATTATTAGAGAAACCAGGAAATGGTGGATTCATTGACTCTGTATGGTTTGTGAAGAGGCAGACAAACATACAGCATGTTTCTGTGTGTTGTACAAGCCAGTTCTGTGTAACCAGTACATGCAGCTGTAGGAAATACAGGGGGCACCTGGCTGAAATATTCTGTACCAGTGTTTGCCCTTAACCCTGAAATGCTGCAGGCCCTAAGGACCCTAGTGTGTAGACCCTATATTTTAGCTACAATTTAAGTAATTCCAAGCAAACAACAAATCGAGTTAAAGAGTTTAATTTAACTAAAATGACTGACTAAAGTCTTCATTTATAACAAACTCACCATCCATGCCAAGATCCAAGCCTTCCTCGAACATTTCGAGTCACGCGGTAGACCCGGGTTCGATTCCCCACATGGGCACAATGTGTGAAGCCCATTTCTGGTGTCCCCAGCCGTGATATTGCTGGAATATTGCTAAAACCGGCGTAAAACCAAACTCAGTCAGTCAGTCAGTTGGGTGGTCAGACTCGGTACTCAGGAGTGTCATGATACATAGTGTTGATCGTTGGCCACTGGATTGTCTGGTCCAGATTCAGTTATGTAAAAGCGGCTGTCATTAAGCTGGAACATTGCTAAGTGTGGCCCCAAACAACCAACCAACCTTTGACTGAGAAACACTGCATGTGGATCTGCGCAATACCACACAACCAATTACACCATCTTGTACAGGACCACACCTGTTTCCACCAAATGTCAGTGTAGTTTTCATTCGATATGGTAATATAGATTATAATCTGGATTTCCCTCAGCTGACTTTGTACACAGAATCAATGTGAATAAGTCGACATTGCGTGAGATAAAGTTGATAGTTTCCACACCAATAACCACATCCCCATCAACACCAGAAGATTGGTTCCCTGGTGTTTACAGACACGGTAATGTATACTACCCATCAAAAGTTTAGACTCACTGAAAGCACTCACTATATGTTATGTATATGTATGTGGTTACATCGAAGATGAATTTCTCCACCAACTTGGGGGAACCAACTGAAAACCTTATGCAGATGAATTGCACAAGGATGATGCTTCAAATTGCGAAAGGCATGAGCAAATGTCGTGCATGTGAACAGATTCGTTTTGGTGTAAAGTTTTGTTAAGAATTAGCCAATTTTCACAGATTTTAATCATTTACTGAACTCATGACAATAATCTTTTCAATGTTACGAATATGTTTTACAATACACCAGTTCATAACTAAACAGTACCTTTAAACAGTATGGAATATTTTGCAAAAAGCTAGTTTAGAACAGTGGACAAGTAAGTGGCTACATTTACACTAGTGAGTCTAAACTTTTGATGGGTAGTATAATTCAATGAACTCCTGACAATAAACTGGACTTAATATTTCACACGTGATCAGTAACAGTTCCTCCTTTACTCTGTCCGCGAAGGTTGATTAACTTTATTGGTATAATGTACATACATTATAGAATATATAGCCTTTAACAGACAATGCTGGTGCTTAACGGCAAGGTATTGTAGACGGAGTATGTTATAAATATGTTATACAACTTCTAGACACCTGTAGGGGCCGAGGGGGTAGCCTAGTGGTTAAAGCGTTGGCTGGTCACGCCGAAGACCCGGGTTCGAATCCCCACATGGGTACAATGTGTGAAGCCCAATTCTGGTGTCCCCCGCCGTGATGTTGCTGGAATATTGCTAAAAGCGGCGTAAAACCAAACTCAGTCAGTCAGTCTAGACACCTCTTGTGCTGCTGTAACATGTCAGGATTTGGGGTATCCTGGTGGTCCAAGTCATAGCTCTTTACCCCCATTCCCGATTCCATTACCAAAGGGTCGTATGTGTAGACAGCTTTAATCTCTTTAAAATCTTATCAAAATTATGAAAACCGCCACTGCTAGGCCTCACACACCAAAAAAGCCATTATGATCCTGGTGTTTCGTTGGGTAAAAGTGTGTAAGTTAGATTGACAAGGGTAGGTGAAGATCACAGATCATGTTAACATATCAACACGCTGCCATCCTCATTGAGACTGACCACAGTCTGTGTGTAACACAGTTTACGATGACGTTGAATAACGTTCCGGCACCATGGGATCTTAGGTGTCAGTTGTGATGTTTAACATGTGAATGTACTACGGGTTGATGGACAGATCATGGACCAAGTCAGTTTGACAGAAAAATATCCCCAGTCCGCCAGGTACCCGGAAGTATACTGACAGACTAGGAAAACTTATTCAACGTCCCGGTCAGTAAGATACATAATTTAAGCGACTCGGACTATCAAAATACCCGCAATAATGTGAAATTCAATACATGCATATCTCAGTGTGTCAATGGTTACTTCTACAGTCTGAAAATACAATAATGTATAACAGTGGAGCCCATGATAGAGGCTGACTGACTGATACGTTCAAAGAAATTGCGTGTAACAAGGCACAGGCGATCGATGCATGGGATACGCCCCTTATACTACTATATAGGTTCATATAGTAGTATAAGGGGCGTATCCCATGCATCGATCGCCTGTGTAACAAGGTTGTCATTTCGGTAATATCCACACAAAGTTTTGTTCAAATGAAATAATTATGGTCATTTCCAGGCAGGGCCTAGACGGTATAACTAACCGATGTCTTAAAAACGAAAACACACCATACTCCCCTGTCTGAGGACCGGCATCCATCTTAATTTTGGAAGGGAATTTTCGCGATTTTTTTCTCAGCAGAATTATCCAATGTATTACTTACCTATCTGGTCAAGGGTTACTATGGTAACTATGTAAGCATTACTTCTTGACAGTATATATGATGAAACAGTCTGAGTAGGAAACCATCCAGCGTCTTTCAATGACTTCAAATGACCCAAGTAGCAGTTACAATGTATCTGTTCTTTAATTATGTTTAATAAAAAAACAGCGACAAATTCCTTTTCCTAATTTATGAAATTTCTACTAAAACCTCACACTCACTGACATTCCTCTCTCTGCGTGAGGTGCTCTTGCAACAGCCAAGCCGCTTTTCGCATTATTTCAATAATGAAGGGGAAAGACTTTATTGCACCTTATGTTCACGGGGATAGTGATAAGAAGAAAGAACGCGATTGTTGCAACATCCTATAATACCGTCCGACCCCACCCCCAGGGGCTGCTGTTTACAAACGATTGTTCGTGAAATAACGATCTTACACATTTCCGACTCTATCAAACCCACCAAATTCAGATTCGTAACTACCACAAAAATATGTTTTCCGAAAATGATAATGAGACTTAATACGAGGAAATGAAAATCGCAATGCCAGAATGCAAGTTGTGACACGTGGCCAGTCTGTGTTCCGATTCGACGGCATTCTTTAGAGGAAGAAGGAACCACGTGCGTGTCACTGACCAACAGTGGCTGGTTAACACGTTTATAGGGAACTGTGCTTTTAATAGTACAAGTGTGTTGCATGTGGTATTTTAGTATTTTAGTGGTTTGTGACGTGGGGCGCGATTTGGAGTAAGTCATATATCACTTCCGGCTTAGATTAAAGTGTGCTTTGTAGTTTTCCATTACGTTTGCGTGTTCATTTTGACATGACCTATGTGCACTGACCAGTGTTTTAGATGTGGAGTATATATGGAGTATGTATGTCGAGCTGTGTACTTCAGTGTGTTGAGTTCAGCACATTGTCAATGTGTCCAGTTGTGTATTTTAAAGTGTCCAGTTGTGTACTTCAATGTGTCGAGTTGTGTACGTCAACGTGTCAAGTTGTGTACTTCAATGTATCGAGCTGTGTACGTCAGTGTGTCGAGTTGTGTACGCCAGTGTGTCGAGTTGTGTACATCAGTGTGTACGTCAATGTGTCGAGTTATGCACTTCAATGTGTCGAGCTGTGTGCTTCAATGTGTCGAGTTGTGTACTTCGGTGTGTCGAGTTGTGAACGTTAGTGTGTACGTCAATGTATCGAGTTGTGTACTTCAATGTGTCGAGTAGTGTACGTCAGTGTGTCGAGCTGTGTACGTCAGTGTTTCAGTGTTTCGAGTTTTGTACGTCTATGTGTCGAGCTGTGTACTTCAGTGTGTCGAGCTGTGTACTTCAATGTGTCGAGTTGTATACGTCAATGTGTCGAGTTGTGTACTTCAATGTGTCAAGTTGTGTACTTCAATGTGTCCAGTTGTGTACTTCAATGTGTTGAGTTGTGTACTTCAATGTGTCGAGTTGTGTACTTCAATGTGTCGAGTTGTGTACTTCAATGTGTCGAGTTGTGTACTTCAATGTGTCGAGTTGTGTACGTCAATGTGTCGAGTTGTGTACTTCAATGTGTCAAGTTGTGTACTTCAGTGTGTCCAGTTGTGTACGTCAGTGTGTCGAGCTGTGTACGTCAGTGTTTCAGTGTTTCGAGTTGTGTATTTCAATGTGTCCAGTTGTGTACGTCAGTGTGTCGAGCTGTGTACTTCAATGTGTCGAGCTGTGTACTTCAGTGTGTCGAGCTGTGTACTTCAATGTGTCGAGCTCAGTTGTGTACTT